GTATAGTTCATTTATCAGCTGATTTCAGGACATCAATGTTTTGTATGTAAAAAAAAAAAAATAGATATATATAGAGAACTTTCCGGTATCTTTAACTCTCGGTCTCCACGACAATGTCAAGCAGACATGCGCAGAAGAAAAATAAAACCTTGATTAAAGAAATGCAAATTAAACTTCGATAAGATAGAGGGGGTATACCGATTTTTTTCCACAAGAGAAACAACAGAAGAAAAAACAACAGAGCGAGGGAGAGAGTGATGAGATGTAAATGGAAAACCCAAAAGTAAAAAAAAAAAAAAAAAAAAAAAAGGTGTCGAAAACGATGGAGCAGGATTTGTTGTGGGCAATCCATTAAAAAATGTAATAGTAGAGTTTGTCGAACAAGAACCACTCGGGAAATCTTTAGGCGGCTTCTCACGTTGCCTCAAAAACTGGGACAGCAGCGGCATCAATCATCTCTTCCTCAATCGAGTCTTCGTACGCCAGCAGGGCCCAAACCCTCCAATGAAGAACACCAAGATGCGCCAGGCGGACGGCCATGTCGTCGATGCCAGCTTCCTCGCGGGGATCGCGGGGGGCCCTCTCGCCAAACAAGCCATTGTTGCGATCGCGCAATGATTCGCTGGGACGGTTGGCTCCCATGATGCGACCGCCAGTGGCGACAGAGAAGAGCGAGACAGCAGACATGTGCTTGAACTCGTTGACCCGCTTGGCCAGCTCGGCGAGCAATCGTTGCTGGAACTGCGCTTCAACCTCCTGGAAGAGTTCCTCCTCGATATTTGTCACGGCATTCCGGATCTGGTCCTCGAATCCGGGAAGGGATGGTGGCGCATTGACGTAGCGCAAGATCTGGAGGGCAACCGAGTCGGCAAGACCTCTCCACTTCTCTCTGGAGGTGTTGGCGGGGGGTGCCGTGTGAAGAAGCGCAAGAAGCGAGTTGTACAGGTCAAGAGCCTTGGTCCGGGACCCGGCAAAGTCCATGCTTGGTTGAGCGCACAACTCGCCCGAGTTGCGAGGCGACGAGAAGGTAGATCCCCGGTCGCTAAAGACAAAACTCGAAGGCCGAGAAGACACAAAGACGAACTCGCCCGATGACCGATTGCTCAGAGCCCCTTCCTCGCGGACATATGATGGTACCCTGGTGGACAGATGAGTGATCTTGGAAAGACGGTCCAAGTCCTCGAACTTGCGCATGCAAATCTCCAAGCAGATGCTGTCGTACATGTCGGAGCGTAGCTTGAGAAGGCGGTCTTCATCAAAGACAAATGTGCAAGGCGTGGTCTCTGACCGGGTGGTAGGAAGGACGAGTCGGGAAAGAGCATCGAAAAAGACGGACATGTTGCCAAAGGCTTGCGCATGAGGCATGGGCGAGTGCTGATATATCCGTTCGGCGTTGCTCTGAGCAGCCTTGTACCATTCCCTGGCCGGTAATACGCTGAGCTTTCTGGACTGGATCTTCTTCATAAAGAAGCGCTGCTCAAAGTGCACAGTGTCCTCGATCAACACCGGACGCAGGCATCGTATCTGGTGGTTGGCAACATCCAACTTCATGGCCTCCAAGACACTCAGCAAACTCCTCATACCCTTTACAAGCTCGGCTGGATCGTTGTTGCGGTTCCCGTTGCTGAGCTCCTGGTACATCTCATCCACCCATTCGTCGCGCATCGGAGCACAGTGCAGCTTCAAAACAGCCGATAGCCACGATGCTAGGGCCTCGAGATCGGCAACGCCACGGTTGAACTGCTGCATCAGGAGATCCACATTCAGCCCTTCGTTCAGGAGTTCCCGCTCCCGCTGCGGTACCAATGTCTCGATGATGTCCCGAACCGCAGTGAGGAGTGCCGGGAGGCACCATTTCCCATCAGCATACCTGCTCATGAAGGTTTCCCGGTCCATCACAAACAGAATCAGCTGGTCCAGCAGCGCATTCCAAAACTGATTGGCCTTCTCCTGTTTTCTCCTCCCTTTTTCACCGTCCAAGTTGGGGCGGAAATGGAGCTCGGGATCATAGTTGATATCATGCCTGAGCTTGGGATTGTGTATTATCTTGGTGACATCGAGTTCGCTTAACGTGCTCTTGGTTACTGGTGGCTCGAGCGGGCGCGCGGGTTGTGGTGAGGAGCGACGGGTGGGTGGCGGTCTCCGGTTGGGGCCTTCGGTTAGATATTCGGCATTGACCTTCTCGTTGGAGTTGGTTGAGCAGGAGGACGGGTTTCTAGACAGTCCAGGCGAAGGACGACCGACTACTGGTGTGGCAAGTGACCCATTGGCGTTGATATCCTGTGTCCCACGGGGCAGATCCTGAGCAGGAGGGACTTCCCTCAGTGATGGCTGGACTTCAGGCTCTGCTGGCGGCGCACGGGTTTCCGAGGGGGCGTCTGGCATGGGCTCCTCGCCCGTGGCCGAATCGTTTCTCCTATGGGTAGGCATGTGGCTTTCGAGTCCTCCTCCGGCACGTTGTTCGCCCATTTTCCAACTGTTGACAGCCACGACCTTATGTATCTGTGGGCTGGGTGAATTTGTCGTAAAATTCCGATCAGATCAAGCCCCGTTTCTAGGAGCAATGACAACGTGGGGCAGAGGCCGCAGCTTTTATATATCTATTAACTTGGGAGCGGGTCAGCATGAATCCAACGGCGTCGACGCAATCAAGTGGGAAAAGAAATGGGGAAAAGGTGCAGGGAGCGTGGAGAGCAGGCAAACAAAGCAGTGGGCAACACAGTCTCCATGGAAGACGAGGTCTCGTGAGATCGGGAGCGTGCATGAAGCAATGTAGCCACGGCCGCGCTGTTGGTCGGAACAGGAGAGGACCCTCGACGGAGCACTGTAGCAGCGGGATACGGTTGTGTACAGGTCCAAGTCCTTGATTGTACGAAGGTGAAGCGGAACCAAAAGGGGGAAGGGAAAAGTGTCGGCTAACCTGCAAGTTTCCTAGTTTCTCAAGTGGTCTTCCTGGACAGCGATGGGAGAAGCCGATTCGACCTCGTCGTGATCCAGGGGTTGTTCTCTCTTCCTTTCTCTATATTCCTTGCACTCGGTTCTAATTCCACACGCAAGCTTGCGCTCTATGAATTTACTATGTCGTGGTGTCGCAGCACAGCACAGCACAGCCAGTGGGCCACACAGGAGGAGGTGAGTGTGAGGCGGTGGCGGTTGTTGGTGTTGGGTCAGACTGCTTTGCTGGGCGGTGTCGGAGTTGTATCAGTTTCGGGGATTCTCAGTGCTGCAACAGCATGCACCACGACAATGAAATGTCTGTCTATATGTGCCAGTGGTGTAGCTGGTGGGGTGAATGGCGAGCGGCCGGAAGAGGCAGACAAGTGGAGGGGGGAAGACGACGGAAGAAGTAATAAATATAATGAGAAGAAGGAGCGAGAGAGGAAACAAACGGGTGAGTGAGATGGGGCCGTGGGAGCAGCGGCCGTGATATTAATGAGATTAGTACACGAGAGAGGGAAAAGCGAGAGAAAGCGAGCCAAAGTGAGTGTGACAGCGCGTCCTTTTTGTTGGAGGGATGGCAAAAAAAAAGAAAAGATCACAAAAAAATAAGGGAGAGGGAGAAACAGTGAGTGAAAGAGTGACACGAAGATGGAGCATGGAGCGAGCGAGTGGATGGATGGATTGCGGAAAGACGAGAAATGGAGGAACTTGAGCCCACACACCATACCGCCCACTCCCACTGTCCCAAAACAGAGGGTGCCGCAACGGAGTATCCAGGCGTGCTAGCTGCATCCTGGCATTCAAAGCACATTTTGGTGTGATAATCACACGCCCCCCCTGGTTCCTTGGCGTTGACTCTCTGGTCTGTGCCTTCCCGGCCGAGGAGGAGGCGGATGGTATTTCCCATGGGCAGCAGCGGGCAGCAGTGGGCATCGGCAGCAGGCACCGCCCTCGATGGCTTGCGACCTGCGATGCTTCATCATGAAGAGTCAGTCACAGTCGGAACATGTGTCGTCAGGCCCAGCAATGAGCGACATGCCAGCCTCAAGGTTACCACCAGCCTCCAACCTCGGGAGCCGGATCTGAATTTTTTTTAAGGCGTGGTCGTCGAGATCTGCAACGATGGGGCCGGCGATAACGAGGCAAGCAAAAACGGAACCTACGGAACCCATTTCACAACCTCCCGCTCGTTGAAGTCGGTTTTCTGGAACATCTCCAAGGTTTGGTTCTGCTTCTTTCCAACGGTCACTGGGCCGAGCCTCACGATTCATTCCTTCCATCTTCTTGGGTTCTGCCCTACGTCCATTGACCTTCAACCCCGCCGTTGGCCCGTGTTTTCTTGTAAGTGATTATCATTATCGCCGGTGGATTACGAACCAAGGATGGGACATTCTGCCGTACCCTCTGTGCTGACCAGAGGTTGAAGTCACGGGCACCGAAATCGCATGTTCCGGTGTTATCAACCTGTCACCTTGGACGGTATGGTAGGTATGTAAGGTCAGTGCCCCATCCTCCAAGCATTTTTGGAACAAAAGGGGCCGTCGGCCATCATCAATCCTGCCATCCGCTGCCCATCACCCGTCACACATCACACAGGGCAGCACACACACTCTCTCACACACAGCCCTTGGGCGGGCCGCAATTGGCGCCGGTCTCGAATTAATCCTCCCCAGAATCAATGCAGCTTCATAAACATGGCGCCAGCCCTTTGGGCGCTCTATCTATCATCATAGCTCCCGCCACGACCCTGCTCGCCCATCCCATACTACAAGGAGCCAAGCTATGGGATTAGCATCGTCCACGACAATCGGAGGCTTTTTCGGAGCGAAGCGGTCCACTAGATGGCCAACTTGCAGCTCTTGTGGGTGGTGGTAACATAAGCCTGGCGCCAACTGTGGACGGCCCAGCACAGACGAACATGACACCAGCCTCGCTGCCGGGTGAGGTTGGTACGCCGGGCCTGGCGCTGATATCTTTACTTTTTTTCTTATACCGTGCGGAAATAACCATGGAACGCTGCAGTCATACTTTTAACCATTGAATAATAAGACCGGAACATGGAATGATCTGGATTTTCCATTACGAAGCATTCCATCCCCGGAGCCAAGGGGTTATGGCTCGATCAAAGAGAGATCGACAGTCTTTTTTTTTTTTTTTGGCCTTTCGAGCGATTCAACCTACGATGACCATCCCTTGGCTTGGACGATGCCCGTTCTTTTTGGTCAATCTCGTATTGCATGTGCCGTTCGGTATGCCCGTGGACAACGACATAATAAAAGGGCGAGACATGCTGTGGTTCTGGAAAGACGAGCCATCAGATCTCGCAGAAGCTTGGAAGCCTTTTGGGGGCGTCAACATGGACAGGCAAGAAAATTTCTGCCATCTGCATCCTCCTGCGTCTTGCTTGCTTTCGTTCTGCAGGAGGTGGGCGGCGAAAGCATCTCGATATGCAGCCAGACAACCAGACTGACTCATCTTTGGATACCCCCGAGAAAAAGAAAGGAAGAGACTAGAAATGGGACCGGACCGTACCACACGCGGTTTCCGAGGATCACACGTGATGCTTTCCCTCCATATCCATTTACAAAAGCAGGGCAGTTCCACGATGAATTCCAAAAGCAGATGTTGATGTGCTGACTCCCTGCTGATGGGTCAGCACACACAGGTCAGGGCATCTGAGACACCGCCTTCTCCATCGAGCATGGTGTCGCATCCCCAATAACCACCACCAAGCGACCCGCCCGACTGGATCATCCCGCGCTGCTTTCCAGCCACACTTCAACTCAAAGGGCCCCAGCATCTTCGACATCAGATCAAACCTGGCAGTGCTTTCTTTTCTTGGTGCGATGTGTGTATTTCCGCGAATGGGACGGACAATGCCCGCTTGGAATTCCCCTTTGCTGCATTAGTTTGGCTGCTTCTTGCATTAGCAGCTGTCAGCTCAAATGAATCTTTTCCACTGCTTAGACCAGACCAGACCTACAGAGCACTCGATATTATCCAGCAATCGATATCAGCCGCAGAGCTGAAATCTCGAACCGCTTTGGGGCACACCTTCGGGGACCTCTGAAGGTGAAGAAGAAACGACATCCACCAAGAAGAAGACCCCTTTCACCATCCTCCTTACACCTCCTGGCTGCCATTCGATGGACATGATGATCTGTCTCTCTTTCTTGTCCGCGATGGGCCCCGATAAGTAGGTTGTTACTGTTGCCTCGCTTGTGGCCTCTTCCAGAGACTGGAGGGCTGGTCATCTGGTGGTCGGTCGGTCGTGGTCTGATGATGAAGGTCAAATTCTCACATTGCACACGCCCCTTCCCCCCCCCCCCCCCCCCTGGTCTCGATACCACAGCGCCGGGATAGCCCAGCTTCGGGCTTCGAGATTGCCAGATGTGGGCGGATCCCCCTAAATATCCCAGAACCACGGCCTCATGGCGAACCCGCAGTTTGGCAAATCTTCCCAAGCCTTGACGAGGCCGGTTCTGCCGATTTCATCATTCGGCGGACCGGTCTTGGGTTATGGATGGAGAGATTGGGAGTCCGGGGTTGTTCTCCAGGGGGGGCCTACCTGCATGTTCAAATTACCCATTTGGCCATGCAGAACCTCATCAGAACGGCGCCAGCTGCGATCGTCAGTAGCCAGATGGCCAAGGCCCACCACCGCCATCGTCGTCCACGCGCGGACACGGGTCACGGGATTGTCTGGTGATAAGAAGAGAATGCAACCTTTTTTGGCCACCACCGGCAACGATCCACGATCTGCTTTCTCACCAAAAAAGCACGCTGCGCAACAACTCAGCTCGCGATGCAACTCCAGCGCAGCTCGGCATGAAACTAAACAGACGGCCTCTGACGCGATAAGCTGAGGCCCAGGCTCGACCAGTGGTGAGTGGCGGCAACGCTCGGTCGTTCATCACCGGCCAGCGACATTGTCACTACACAGACACTAAAAAGCAACAACAAGAACAAATCACTATACTTGATGCTTGCTGCACCTAGCTCTCTGGTGCCACCACACTTTGATGCGGGCTGCCTTTTTGGAGCCAGACCTTTTTGCCCTAATGTGTAAAGTTGCGTCTTTCCTGACCGTCGGTGGACATTCTTGTTACCAGTCACACACCCCAAGGGCTTTCCTGCGGATGCGACGATGCGAAGTGCGTTGTCAGAAAGATGGAGCCTGAAGCAAGGCAAAACAGGAATTTGATCAAACAAGACGTTGTTGTCTTGGTGTCAACTCTCTTCTGGCCAGACGTTGTTGGAGATCGACCACGAGTCATAGCCATCCGAATAGCAATGATAGCTAACGCTTTTTTTTTTCGAGGCGGCTGAAAGATTTGATAGGACCGGATGGCTTTTTACTACAAGTGATAATAAGCCCAACAATGCGGCCCGAGGTAGATCTGCTTCTGGATTTGTTCGATCAATTACACCCCCCGCCATCGAAGATATGCCTTCTGTCTACCTAAGACACCACCGTGGGTGTGTCTGATCACAGAAATGATCGAGCGGGGTTGGGGCCAAACGTCTAGACAAGTCCAATCACCTACCCATCCGGTGGAACTTGGATGTTCTAGAGACAAGAATTGGAGAGAAAAAAAAGTACATACCAATTCTGATACCAAAGGAAACCAGACCTCGAATCCAACACAAGACATTGCAATACAACTTCACACAAAGCCAAGCCGGCAACTGTTATGCCATTCATTCAGCTTTTACTGGAAACACTTGTTTTCTGCTTACGCACAGATTTTTGCTTCAGGCTTTTACCATGTTTTTTTTTGGTCAAGTTTGAGGCGAGCTTGTTGGGTTCAACCTGTCCATGTGAGGTGAAGTGTTCGGCGAGGGTCAAAACTCACCCCCCTTCTCCCCACCCCCGGGCCGATCCACCACCACTCACCCCCCACCCATCCGCACACACACACCTCGGACCCTTTTAGCCCTAATCTTTGCATCTGGGGTTCTCTTTCTCAAACCGCCTCATTGGGATCAGTGCACGGCTGCGGAACAGTTCAACCATGCACAAATATATGATAACCATGGAGAGGCACAAATATTCATGACCTTACCATTCTCATTGCTTTTTCTGCCCTCGAATTTATGGACCCCGCATGACTATCCCCGGCCCCGCAATCCGGACATGCCGCCGGGGGCGGAGTCGGGGGGGTCGGTGGACACCGCAACGGCACCGACACGTTTTTTCTTTCTTTTCGTTGTTCCCATGTCAGACCAAGGTCAGACGCGCCGGGAGATCATCCGCGCAGAACTACAAGGTTTCATGTTAGGGAAGGTAGTTATGCAACCGAACTGTGAACCGTATGTGGAAAAGGATTACCTAGTGTAATACATGGGGTGTGGAAGTTGAAACGAGACAACACCACTACTTACGTCTCTTCACCTTTGGTAGACCTGAATGCTGGGGCGACAACTACAGGTATTCTCGTTTAGAGAACCAGACAAATTCTTGACGCGGGATAGGTAGGTAACTTGTTTTGGCATTGCCTGGGGCGTTTCTGAGTGGGACGTGTTGCTTTTCCTTGTTCCTGCGATGCATATAGCCGTTGCGTCTGCTCAGAGTTGAGCTTGCAGCCAAGGTAGTTGGTTGTATCTATCTTTCGGGAGACGGCAGTTTAGCAGTCGATATCTCTGAATAGCCCCGGGGGTTTATCAAAGCTGACTAGGTACCTTACCAGAGCGGGGAAGGAGGGGGTGATCAAGATGGGTGCTCGCATGAGGAAGTTGATATCGAGCTCAAAGTTCCCTTACTCTGGTAAAAGTGATCGAGATGGGTACTTGCAGGGTGGCTACGACATGGCTCTGGGGGTGAGGGGGGGGTTCCTATGTTCACGGGCTACCGCTGTGTTGGTAGCGACTGTTTGTGCGCGGACTACATGATCGAGGGTTGCGGGTTGAATGATGACATCTGCTAGGTGAAAGGGTGGTGACTTACTGGTGAGGAGCAAACTACTACGCAAGCTGCATTGCGTTGCTGCTGGTAGGCAGGACGGGACGGAGAGAGGGGTGAAGACGCTGCGAGGATCTTTGGGTGAAGAGAAAGGTCATATCAAAATGATGGTGTAGAGGCCTGGATGTGATGAGATTTTCCAAGGCTGAGGCCAAATGTCGAGGCCACCCAAGCCAGATAGATGGTGGTAGGAGATGCTAACCACCAGCACCACGAGCTCAATCACATGCAGAAATGAGTCCTGAATTTTGCAGTTCAGAAACAATTTTATGCAGTTTGCTCAATTCCCAGTCTTCAGCCCCCAATGTTTGCCATGATACTTCGAACCGAGCACACCTCCCAACCTGGTACCGAGTTCTCGCAAGACTGTTCACTATCAACCCGTGGACCTACTATCCCGACCACCCGTCACATCACCACGGCCCAAGTCACAACTTCGGACTCGTCCCTCGACCCAATCATCAGGCCGATTTCAAGTTTTCATCTGGAAAAAATCCCCAAACCCCATGGCCGCAAACTCGGTCTCCTACCCGTGTTTCCTTCGAGAATCTCAACGGGCCATATTCCTGGCCGCCACTTTGTGGGAGAATTCTCCGGATGGAGCCCGAGAAGGTGGCCAAGCGGCCGACGGGCATTGACCGCTCTGTCTAACAAGATAATTTTTGTCCCTGCACAGGAAACAAACAACATATGTGGCTTTTTGCTTTGAGAAGCTCGGAAAGGCCAGCAAAACGGATTGGCGATCGTTGGTCTGGGGAAGATGGTGGAGAGGCCTCGCTTATGTACACTCCCCTCCATTTCTATCATATGAGTGTAGATGGCCGGTGTTGGTGAGGCCCATCTCATTTTCCTATCTGACATTGTCGTTATGTCCTGTCCAGTTCCAGAAGGCCACCTAAGACGCATACCGTTGAAGGAAGCCAACCCACAACTATCGTGAAGAAACAAGAAACAAATATCCTAGAGCCGGCATAAACGTGAAAGAGTCTGGGAATTGGTTGTTGAGAAATGTTAAATTAGTTTTCTCTTTTGATGATCTTGTCCTCATCATCATGCCTGCGCAAGGCAAACAACCGGTCTCCCCACCGCATATCCACCACTGTCTCATTACTGCTTGGTGTAAGTGTTGTGTAAGAAGAAACCAAAACCCAACGCCGTGAAATCGCCAAACCAAAGGCAATTATTATATACCTAAACCACCAATCTGTTTTCCTCCCATCAAAGCTAGTTTAAGAGCTGAGGAAGATGGAGCCCTGTTCCTCATTAGCACACGCCATAACTGTAAAAGAGCACGATTTTGACTCACAGCCATGAAGAGACACCACAAACTCATGTACGGGCTCAGTCTCTCACCGATCCTGGCTGACTTCCAAAAGACACCCATAAGGCCGGTCTTGTTTCTGTCGAGGATGGCGGGGAAGATTTGGTGGACGTGGGCGCATGTGCTTTGTCGTGAGTTAGTATGAGCATCCTATAGGACGGTGAAAGTGAGGGGTGAAAGTACCAGATTAGGAGGAGGATTACAAGGAGGAGTGACTGGAGGTTGAAAAGGGCGGACTGTTCACCATCATTAGCTTTTACTCTTATGTCGCAACAAGACATGGAATGAAATATACCATTTTGTCGGTTTTATTCTTATCGATTGTCTTCAGATTTTTATGGTTTGATACAGTATTGGGGTGATTTGGTGTTGCGAGATGGTATGTGTGAAGTACGCTGTGAGTTGCCTGCCAGAAATAAAGATGTCATCACCTCTGAATTGAAGCCAAAGTGACCCCCGTGTCGTGTCCTGACAAGCTCAGGCCACCTGTCTAGACCCACTTTTAAACAGGGCGAAGGTGGAGCCCCTGGCAGGGATGTGCGGCTGGAAGTTCTGGAACCGTTCGTTTGGGAGCTCCACACGACGACTTTTTGCGGGGACCTTGATGGACGATGCTTCCTTCTTCCATCATCATCAACAGCTGTAACTTTTGACGAAGCTGTTCAGATTACTCCATCGCTGATATCGACCGCCCGAAGAGGATAAACTTGTCAATGATTGTCGACAAAGATTCTGAACCAAAAGACAATCGCGCGTTCGAAATCCATCCATCAACAACGTCACAAGCTCACAACACAAACGCGAACTACAACTCATTCTAACCTTCCCAATAATCACCACCCACCCACCCATTCTCGCAAGCCGCGGCCAACTCCCCCCCCCCCTTCCAACAACCCCAAAATGGAACCCCGCGCCCGCGCCGGCAAAAATGTCGGCAAGATGAACTTTGGCCACAACGAGCTCGCCCAGCTCCTCTACTCCCACGGCGACGCCCGCCTCCCCCTCAACGAGACGGTCCGCCTCCTCGACGAGGTCCTCACCGACTTCATCCAGGGCGTCTCTTTCGAGGCCACCCGCGCCGCCCACCACGCCGGCCGCCAAAAGGTCAAGTTTGAAGACTTTGAGTTCGCCATGCGCCGCAACCCGAGGTTCATGGGCAAGATCCAGGAGGTGTTTGAGAAGAAGAAGGAGATTGAGGCCGCGAGGAAGAATTTCAATATCGAGGATCAGTGGATGAAGGATGCCGAGAGGGAGGAGAAGGAGAAGGCCGATCGGGAGAAGGAGAAGGCTGGTGGGGAAGGGGGGGAGAAGGCCAAGGGGAAGAGGGGACGGCCGCGGAAGGATAGGGGGGCAAGTGCGGGGAGTGGGAGCCAGAGTCAGAGTCAGAGTGTCCAGCCGGAGGGGTCGGGGTCGCAGTCGCAGAGTCAGCAGGTGGATAGGATGGATATTGGGGAGGAGGACTTGGAGGATGGGTTGGATGATGATTTGGAGGGGGATGCTGATGTTGTTAGTGCCATCAGGCGGAGATAGGTTTTGAAGATGTGGGATTTGCTGTTCTTTTTTCTTTCTTTTTTTCACGGGAAGGAAGATATATCATAGCGATGGAGTTTTGGGTATTGTTTTACGGCATGATCAACAGAATAATACTGGACAATGGCGTTTTAGCTGCGTATGTACACGAGCCGTCAGAGGACCTTGATATGAATGGGATTATAAGAGAGCATATGATTCAAGTGTGTTCAGATGTCATTAGATGTCTATTAAGCTGCGTTCAAAGCCTGCGAACATGCCACCCCCATTGTATCTATTGGATTATCCAGGCTCATCTGTACGCCTATTCCCTCCATTCCTCCCCCTTGGACATCTTCTTCTTCTTCTCCCCGTTCTCCTCGTTCACCACACCATCGCCGTCCTTGGAAGCCACCACAATCTTAAAATCCCCCCTCCCCCACGTCTGGAACCTGCTCAGCGGCATCCCATCCAGCAACCCACTCGTCCGCTCCCACGGAACGCCAAAAAGCCCCGAGTTGATCTTGCACATCCTGACTTGGGGAATAAAAGGGCAGTCCTCCTGGTTGAACTTGACGTCGTTGAGCTTGGACAAGAAATTGAGCATGGCTGACTCGGTGTGCTTGAGGATCTCATCCGGGGGGTCCCGCTTGGCGCCGACGTTCTTGCTGGTGAAGAGACAGGCGACGTAGTGGATGTCTTTTTCGTGGGGGGACCGGCGCTGGGGGTTGGATTCACTTTTGGAACCATCGTCGTCGTTCTGCCTGGCCCAGTTGAATCTCTGTTCTTGGGGGTGTATGGAGCGTTTTGGGACTTGGATCCAGTTGGTGGTTTCTTCTTCTGGGGGTTCTTTGCTGGCGTTGCTTGTTTTGCCATCGGTGTCTTGTACCCCGGCGTTGCCAACCTCATTCTCGTCAACTTCAGCTCTATCTTCGTCTTTGACCTCAGGGGCATCTTTGGCTTCGTCGTCACCCTCCACACTACCAGCTTCGACCTCATCATCCCGAACATGCGAATATTTGTCGGACTGAGGGGCAATGAGAAGAGCCGTCCCGACGAGCTCATCCGGGGTAAACTCTTGACAATGCTTCCTGTAAATCTCAAAGGCAGCTGGGTAAGACTTCTTGAAAGCGAGAGCAATACCGCCTCCCCACTTGCCAATCGTATTACAGGCGTGAATGAGGACACTGTTGGGCGGGGCATCAAACAAATCACCCTGCTCGTAGGTGAGGACAATTTTTCTAGTCTTTGGTTCAGAGCGAGTTTTTCCAGGAAGTGAGTGAACTGTCGAGGTACTTGATGCCCTGGTTCGGGTGTAGTGCTGTTTCTTCTCGTTAGACTGATGAAAGCCTCCTCCTGTGTTGACCTTTTGACGTTGAGGTTGGGGTGGTGGTTTGGTGTCTCTCACTTCCCAGTTTTGTTCCTCTTGGGAGAATAAGTTGAGGTCTGCCAATGAGGGCTTGTCCTCCCAGGATGATTCGGCCAGGGATGGTGCCATTGTGGTCGACTGGGGCTCAGTGGCAGAGTCCAGGATAGGACCTTGGGTCTTTTGCCGCTTCAATCGGGCTGGTGGACCATAAAAATCGGTGATGCGATGGTTCACTGATTTAGAGGAGGCACCAACGATGGCACCAATGCGTCTCTTGGAGGCCATGATTGTGCGTGTGGAGGTCGGTTTTATATGAAGATAGATGAGTCGTGAGGAGGTGCTTGGAGTTTGCCATGGCGTTGCCTTCCAAGAATGATACAACAGCAGTTTTGCCAAACAAAAATGACAGGTGATGCAGACAATCGACGCGTCTATAAATGAGAGTTCTTGCTGATTGTGTAACCATTGTCTATCTGGGATCTGGGATCTGGGAAAGCACGAGCCAAGCCTGTCAATGAATTCCTTTGCCGATCACTCCTTTCATTTCTTCATTTCTTCAACACCGACACTGCAACTCTCAGCCAGCCAATACAATAAACTCTCCGACGAGAGACCTGCCTAGCGAAGAGGCTTCCAAAGATAATCTGATGCTCTTCAGAGACGGTCGAAGTGGCTGTGGATACTTCGTACTGTCGATGGACCTTGAAGCCAAAATTCGAGTGGATAAGCACTCATATGACGCCGACCCCCACATACCTACCCCTCCTAACCAAACACCTTCTGTCCTTGGGTTTAGCACCGTTCGAATGACGCAGAGATGAAGCACGCAAAAACCGACGTTCAATGTCACCCGCCGCGATATCGGGCGGGTAGAGCCATAGTATGGTCGACCCCTGGCATCCGACGAACGGTTCCCGTATCCGATGGCTGTCACTGCCTGCCAGCCTGGATCACAGCATGGCGTCTGTTTGTGTTGACCATTCACAGTCGCAATTCCGTCGCCCAAGCAGTCAGTCAGGCTTAAGGTGTGCCTAGCACTCCGCCCGGTCCGGGGATAACAGCCCCCGGGCATGCTATTCTCTCCGCTTTTGAGGTGCTTAGGTAGGTTTGGCTTTTTCTCGTTGAACCATAAACTTCTTTTCCTCTTTCTACATCTTGTTAACGGGCAAGATGAGTAATCCTCTTGTGGTTTTTGTCCAAATACACTTATATTTTCCGCAATTATGTCCCGTTATCTTAACGTACCTAGCAAGCAGTCTGAGCAGAGCGATGATGACGATGTCATTGACAACCTTCCTATGGAGGTGGTGGCTACTGGCAAGGTTAGGACTTCATCGCCATACTTGACAACAAACATACAAGGTCTTCGATCACGGTCTGTCAGTCCAAACCCGCAACGAGGAGCCTTATCGTCCTCACCTTCACGCCGTGCTCCAGCTCCAGCCTCGCCAAGGTCCCCTACCCTTTCTCGAGAGAAGCAAAAGCAAAGTGCCTTCTCGAGGTCATGTCTTGCATTCTGGGAGAAGAATAAGGGACCGATATTGGTGGTCTTTGCACAGTTGTTTGGTGCTCTCATGAACGTTTCGGCAAGGCTACTCGAGTTGGAAGGAGATGGAATGCACCCTCTCCAGATTCTCTTTGTGCGGATGAGTGTCACCTCGATACTCTCTTGCATATACATGTACTGGAAGAACATCCCCGATTTTCCCATGGGTCCCAGGAATATCAGACCTCTGTTGCTTCTTAGAGGGTTCAGCGGATTCGTATGTGGAGATTATCCCCTTTAACTCCGAGCTCTGATACTAACAAGCCCGCAGTTTGGTATCTACGGCATGTGGTATTCCATGATGTACCTTCCCCTGGCCGAGGCAACAGTCATCACCTTCCTCGCCCCCTGTGTAGCAGGCTACATATGCCACCTGCTGCTCAAGGACCCGTTCACTCGCAAAGAACAGATCGCCTCGTTCATAGCCCTCGGAGGAGTTGTCCTCATCGCCAAACCCACTTCGCTCTTCTCGTCTTCCACTGATTCACCTCCGCCATTGTCAGGGGAAGGTTCTCACCATCCACCTGGAGACAATGCAACACCTACCCAACGTCTTTTCGCCATCTTGGTTGCCTTACTCGGCGTCCTTGGAGCAGCGGGGGCATACAGTACCATCCGCTGGATAGGCAAACGGACTCACCCGCTAATCACGGTCAACTATTTCTCTGTTTTTAGTACCATCGTCAGCACCACCGCTTTACTTGTCTGCCCACTGCTGGATATCGGACAGCCAGCCATCAGATTTGGGTTTCCGTCGTCAGGTTATCAGTGGTTTCTGTTGGGAAGCTTGGGTATATGCGGCTTCGGTTTGCAGTTTCTGTTGACGGCAGGGCTCGCAGGAGAAAAGAGCAACAGGGCGACGGCAATGGTGTACACTCACATGCTGTTTGCTGCTGGGTTTGACAGGTGGGTGTTTGGACACACAATGGGGCTGTGGAGTGTGATGGGGTGTGCCTTGATCTTGGGAGGGGCAATGTGGGCGGCTCTGGGCAAGAAGAAGGTGGAAGGGGCGGGGTCCAAGGAGCAGGATGTGGAAGGGGGCGGTGCCAATAGTAGAGAAGAAGGGGTGCCGATGTTGAATGGAGAGGACACAAGCTCTGGGGACGAGGAGGGATCTATGGAAATGGATAGGCTGAGAAGTAGATGAGAGATGGATATGAAAGTGGCGGCATAGGTCAGGACTAAAAGGGGGTAGTGGTACTGATGCGGGAACCCTAACCCTAAAACACTCACTGGTAAGTGTCATAAGAGACACGGCAAATAGACAAGTCAACACTTGGAATCATGGTGTCGAATATGTTGAATAACTTCAAAGTAACCACTATATGCACTCATCTAATAGTAATTCCACCACAGAGTCGCCGACTCTGCTGATGCTTTGCTCAACTTTCAGTCATTTATTTATACGCCAGTGCACAGACCACCTGGTTTGGCTTTTGGTTGGCAGTGATCAATCGCGTTTCCTGGAAATTTGAGAGCTTCCAGAGCTCGCGTCCGCCTTTCTCTCCCAAGTTCACAGCCTTTCCACCGCCATCAAACAGACGCCTTTTGAAACGAACAACTTCGAATTGGCGACATCTGATACAAATCATATCTTCGAAAGACAAAGACACAAACACCAGCATCGAATATGGTTCAAATCAGCGAAGTCCGCGGCAACAGCCGCGACCATCGCACAGCGGCGCACACCCACATCAAGGGCCTAGGTCTCAACTCGGCGGGTATCGCTGAGAAGCAGGCTGCTGGCTTTGTTGGACAAAACTCGGCGCGCGAGGTACTTTATCTCTGTTTCCGACTTGATGTTTCAAGCAATGGGCATTAATCAAGACATACATACAGGCATGCGGCGTTGTCGTCGACCTCATTCGAGCGCACAAGATGGCCGGCCGTGGCGTCCTCCTCGCCGGCGGTCCAGGCACAGGCAAGACAGCCCTCGCCCTCGCCATCAGCCAAGAGCTCGGCACCAAGATTCCCTTTTGCCCCATCACCGGCAGCGAAATCTACTCGACCGAAGTGAAGAAGACCGAAGTCTTGATGGAGAACTTTCGGCGGGCAATCGGGCTCAAGGTCCGCGAGACCAAGGATGTGTACGAGGGCGAGGTCACAGAACTCACACCAGAAGAGGCGGAAAACCCCTTGGGCGGATACGGCAAGACTATTAGTACTCTGCTCATCGGGCTCAAGAGCGCGCGAGGACAAAAAAAGTTGAGACTGGACCCCAGCATCTACGAGGCTATTCAGAAGGAGAGAGTTACTGTGGGTGATGTGATTTACATCGAGACGAATACCGGTGCGTGCAAGAGGGTGGGGAGGTCGGATGCGTATGCGACTGAATTCGATCTGGAGGCGGAGGAGTATGTGCCCATCCCCAAGGGTGAGGTACACAAGAAGAAGGAGATCGTGCAGGACGTGAGCCTGCACGATTTGGATGTGGCCAACGCTAGACCGCAGGGGGGCCAGGACATTATGAGCATGATGGGCCAGCTGATGAAGCCAAAGATGACGGAGATTACGGATAAGCTGAGGGGCGAGATCAACAAGGTGGTGAGCAAGTATATCAACCAGGGTGTGGCGGAGCTGGTGCCGGGTGTGCTGTTCATAGATGAGGTAGGGTTTCTCTCGGGAAAAGGAACTACTGGCAGGATTTGGCTGACCTTTCTCACAGGCGCACATGCTCGATGTTGAGTGCTTTACCTACCTTAACAAAGCGTTGGAGTCCCCTATTTCTCCAATTGTGGTCCTGGCTTCGAACCGGGGTGTCACCACCATTCGTGGGGCTGACGACCTGGTAGCTGCCCATGGTATCCCCCCTGACTTTTTGTCTCGCCTCCTCATCATTCCCACCCATCCGTATGAGCCCGAGGAGATCAAGAGAATCGTACGGATTCGGTCAACCACCGAGGGCGTGCAGCTCACAGACGCCGCTGTCGACAAGATTGCGGAGCATGGTGTGCGTATCAGTCTTCGTTACTGCCTCCAACTATTGGCTCCAGCCAGGTATGTTGTCTCGGGTGTTTGCTGTTGGTCCAGAAAACTAACAAAGGTGATGTGACAGTATTCTTGCTCGGGTCAATGGCCGCTCTCAGATTGATGTTCAGGATGTTGCAGAGTGCGAGGACTTGTTCCTTGATGCCAGACGTAGCGCCCAGGTGCTGGCCAGCGAGTCGGGCCGGGGTTTCATTTCATAAGCTGGGTTCTCAGCACACATCGAAGTTCTATATCGTCGGTCTCGGAGCGGTGGGGTGATTCAGGGGTAGCGGCCAAGCAAGCTTAGAGCACGGCGGATAGGTACTGGTCACATCTCTGATTTTAGCACGTATGATAGATGAGGATACCGGTTTGGTTGGGAAAACTGCGTTGCAGGTCGGAGTTGGCGCGTAATCACTTTTTTTCTGCTTTTGTTATGATATCTGTTTGGGAGGAAGGGAACATTTGCGACGGGAGCTGGCTGGCGGGACTGCGCTTGAGAAAGACAGGATGATATAAACAGCAACCCAACGACAACAACTACTATCATATTTTTTCTTTCTTTCTTTATGACCGTCTTCCCCACACTCTGGCCAACAATCGGGACCCCTCTTGGGCTGGAATTTGAAGCGAACAAGAGGATGTCAGAAGAGGGGCCAGACCTGTTTCGGTTCACCATGGTCTTTGTCCAGCGTGCTCATTCCTCAACGGCATGCTCCCACATTCCTTGTGCCTTTGGCATTGTCATGGCAGAGAGAGGCTGGATCAAGACGATTTCTGGCCTGAAATGGGCCACTGCGAACGGAATGTCTGCAAACGCGGGGACAAAGAAAAAGTCTGGTGCAGCCAACGTTGGAGCTGCGGCGCATACTGGCTCCCGAGACATCGACAACCACAACCACAACCACAGCTACGCGACTCTGGACTGCCCACTCTTTTCCATCTGTTGTCACTAGGCCGATCACGCTGTCGTTCGTAATAATGTCATTTTAGACTAGCACCCACCGTCAGCCACGGAGCAATACTCTCTGGGGCACCCAATGATACGGTCATCCATTATCTGTCTCTTTCTCCCGTTGTTGGCCATCTGGAGAGGGGTCTCTGGCATTGTCTGGGGACGGTGAAATTAACGGGGAAGACAGATCACAAAGGATACAATCCCGACATATACTCCTATTGATTGGTCGTTTTTTTTTCCCATTCTCTCCTGGCGGGAAGTCACTCAGACAGATAACACTTGCAGAGACGGAGAGAGGCCTTTGCCTCCTCTTGACACCGCTCATACGCAGACGCACGGCAACTGGCCAACCACAACGGAACCTCTTGGGTGTAGATGGAGTTTCCTTGTTTGCAGTTTCTTTCTGGTCCGGATTCTTTTACGACACCATCTCCTGTCCTCATTCCAAGACATACATACAGAGAGACAGGCAGGCCAGTCATACACCTCGTCAGACCCGGCCCTGCCCTGTCCTGTCCAGCCCAGCCCAGCTCACCTCAGGCTTCGTCTCCCAGGTGGAGGTGGAGAGACAGGTCAAACGCCATATCCAGGAGTAGGGGTGCCCGGTGAGGAGAGAGAGGAGAGGTGGGAGATTGTGCGTCCCGATAGACTGGATCAATCTGCGGACTAGTCTTTCTGGTTGTAGGCCCCTCCACTCCCTACCAGTCTTCCCCTCTAATCCGTTTGTTGTCTTACTCAACACAAAGCTTTTTCTGGTCTTTTCCTTCTTTGCCTCTTTTTTTCTCAGAGAGCTCGAGACGCTAATCAGCCCGATGGGAAAAGGGGGAGGAAAAATGACAGAAGTAATACCTTCGTCCTCACAGCAGCAGCGGCAGCCACCAGGTTCACAGCAGCAGCAGCAACCACATCAGCAGCAACAGACTGGCCCTTTAACCCGCTCAGCCATGTCTGCTGCGAGGTTGGCAGGAGGGGGAAGCACACCGTCCACATCTTCGTCCATAAGAACGGCCGTCGGAGGCGGAGAGTCAGCATCAATACCGGCTGCAAGGGCCACATCGACAAGACAAGACACTCACATTGTGACCTCAGCTCCTCTTTTACCCTCTGGCCCTGCCCATTCTACTCGTGGCTCTTCTTCTTTTTCTTCCTCTTCGCACGGGCATATTTTTCAGCTCGGCAGCGGGCCAATAACTAGAAAGCGAGCGGCGTCCATTAACACGGAGGAAGCCAACAACCGTTCACGGATCGAGAGCTTGACCCTTCAGACACCTACAAGCAATCCTAGTTCTTTTCACGGTGACCGTGTTCTAGAGGACAACGGTTCTGGGCAGGATCTTGTCTGTCTTTGCGCACCTCCACCGAAGATTCCAAGACCAAGAAACGGTATGTTTTCTTTTTTTTTGTGCCTTTGCTGTAAGTTGATCGCTGATTTCGGGCTGTGGTTAGCTTTTATACTCTATCGCCAAGCCCATCAAGCGACGATTGTTCAACAAAATCCTGGTCTCGCCAACCCGGATATTTCCAAGATCATTGGCGAGAACTGGAAGGCTGAGCCAGAAGAGTCCAAAAACAGGTGGAAAGAGCTGGCAGAGGCGGAAAAGCTGCGGCATCAGACACAGTTTCCAGGCTATCGATACCAGCCGAGAAGAGGAAATAAGAGTGGTGCTCCATCAGGTAGAACAACTGCGCCAGGACAAGATCCACACAAGTGTCCAAACTGTGGAGGAAGATACATTGCCACTCCGAGAACACCATCTACGCCATTCATGACTCCCACGGCGGCGAAACAGCCCCCTTTTCCAGGCGGAGGAGGCCATCCACCACCTCCGGGCTACCCTCGCCACCAGCAACCTCCACCAACGCCTGCTTCGGCAAGAGGAGCCGCTCGACCTCAATGGGGACCACAAGGAAGTGGTGCCAGCCTGTACGATATTCGTGAACACTACGAAGATCCTTATTCTCCATCGGAAGCCAAGCGTAGGAAGTACAATGCAGCAGGAAGCTACCAAAACTACCATTCCCTACCTTCACCCCCTCCTCCACTACCTCATTCATACCCCGGGCCTCCCAGGGGGTCTGTGTCTCGAGCTTCGATGAGCATGAGCAGTTCGCCCACACCGGGTTACGGGCCTCCGCAACTGCCGGGTCCATCTTCCATGCTTGCTCGTGTCAGCCCAGGACCGAGCCCACTGTCAGGAGGTAGCATCACGGGGAGTATGGCTCCTCCACCCGTTCCCAGAGCCCCAAGTTTGTCGTTGTCCGTGTCATCTCCGTACGGCCCTCCTTCACACCAATACCCGCCACCGCCACCACAGCATCAAACATACCTACACCAATCCCAACAACAACGCACTGGCTCATTGTCGTCTGTTCTCTCCGGCGGTGCTTCCCAACCTCCGACTGGTGGTGAGTTTGACGAGTCCCTCCGCCTGCCTCCCCTCCATCTGTCGACTTCAACGAGTAATCCTTCTACTTCTCGAATTCCAACCTCCCCAGACAATGAGTCTGAAATTGGAAGTGCCTACCCTTCCAGCACCAAAACCGCATTCTCTTCTTCCCACCCACCTTCTGCCTTTTCTGGTCCCCAAAGCAACCCCCGTCAAGACTCCAAGGAGGAGGAAGCCGCCCGACGCAGCGTGGAAGCGATGGTAATGTCCATTTCCTACATCAACAAGCTCCGAGTTCTGGAACGAATTTCTCCTCCTTTGGGTTCGGATCCCCAGGGAACTCGGAAGAAGAGGCGAGGCCCTATAATTGCTGTGGAAGGGGTTGATCTGTCTTTGATGAAGCTTGTAGGCGGTGTCATCGAGCGTGCCCTGCGCCAGGAAAGAGGCGAGAACTGGGATATCAGGACATGGAACGCCGCCGATGACGAATCGTCCGACGACGGGACAACAAAAGAGCGAACCGGTAGCTTCTCCGGCAGGGAAAGCAACGCCAGCAGCTCCAAGGTCGTCCTCGGCTCCAGAGCCGGCAGCACGACGCCGGTTCCGTTCCGCCAACCATCCGACTCTAGCCCGTTCGAGACGTACCTCCGCACCATCACAAAGTGGCACGCCAAATCGAACGAGATTGTCTCGTTTGTCACTTCCCCGCAGGGCTCCTCCCCGTCGGCGAGCCACCCCTCGTTGGATACCGAGTCGATGACGCCCACCCCTCGACACCGGCATCCACTGCCTGGTCATGCGTCATCCTCAAAGGTGCCCATCGCGCTTCTTCCTAGCGGGTTTAGCTTGACGCTGTCGGATAAGTTTGCTTGTCAGACACCCATTAGTGATTCATATGCGCCGGTGGATCACTGGCAGTGGATGGCTACGCTTTGGAGGGGCGTTGCTGGGGCGGATTTGGTGGTTTATGTCAAGGGGATTTATCAGCAGCAGCAGCAGCAGTCGTCGAATTTGTCGCCGAAGGAGCAGCAGCAACAGGGGGGAGGTGTGGAGATCAAGGCTGGGGGGTTGATTGCGGTCAAGATTCCTGTTTTGATGTCTCAGGAGGGGGGGAGCAGTAGTCAGGGGGAGCAGCAGCAGGTTGTGGTTGATGAGAAGATTGAGAGGAGGCTTGGCTTTGAGGTTGTGGAGTGGGTTAGGGGAGGGAGTTGGCTGGGCCAAGGAGGGCAGCAGCAGCAGGGGGAGGCGATGGAGTTTTAGGGTCGGTTCAGTTTAGGATAGATTGGATTGAATGTTAGAAAAGTTAGAGGTGACGGTTGAGGCTGGTAGACCTGTCCTGGGGTGAGAGTAGGGAATAAACCTATCATAATAGTGTCTATTGTCTATATGTTGTGCCTGAGGCCTGGCCTTTGATACTCAAAGTCACAAGGGAGCTTGGGCCAGCGAAGTGAGCTAAGCAGTAGATTGTTTTTGTTCCAAAGCTGCGACTCTCTACAATTCCTTTCTCTCTCTCCCTTCGCTCTAAAAGTTGCTCGAAAGGTCGCCTAAAAATTACTTTATCTTGCTTGAACCTTCACACCAATCAAGCAAACACGAACAATACAATTGACGGCCTCTGGCTCCCCGGCTTCAAGCTCACCCTCCTGTGGGCAATATCCCCCTCAGACCCGTCTCGGGTCCCCAATAATAGAAACAACAAAGGCAAGACCAATAAGAAGAAGAACGAACAGAAAGAAGAGAAGTCTCGCAAATTCAGCGCCGGCCGGGCCCCTACCCCAAACCCGCTGGCCGCATTCATCTCTACCGGGGATCGAGACATCCAGGATATGCTCAATCAAGCCTCCTGTGTTACTGCGGGCCCGCCTACCTTTCTATAGACGGGTTGCTACGTTTCCACACGCTTCTTTTTTCGCTCGTAGGCGATGCTGATTTGTTTGTAGACGGTGCTGGTTTCGTTTTCAAGCAGTATCAGTCTTCTTTCCAGGCGACCGCTGGCTTGGACATGGGAAGCACCTACTTCCTATAACAACTTGATACAGATGATGGTTAACGGGCATGTTCAAAACTGAAATGAGTCAGAACAGAGACCCATCACACCCATTTCTTCAGCCCAAGCTGCGGCGGCCACTGCTGTAGCGGCAGGGCCCGGTGCTGACCCGGCCCATAGCCGCCATCTGTGTTGACTGAGACGGTCAGAGATTGGTAAAACCCGGGTGGTTGAGGAAGAGTATGCCCTTGTGAAGGGTACTGAACTGCAGGGGGAAGGAAGACAGCTTTACCAAGACATCTGTAGGTCTTTGGCTCCATGAGTATCGCCATCATCACTTTTCAGTGGTTAACCAAGGCTTTCGGCTCGCTTCACCGATAACCAAAACTAAAACGAAGACCAGGCTTCGGACAGCTCCGGCGCCGAGCCGGATAGCAGTGGTGCCTCTGCTCCGGCTCCTCTAGAGATGAGCATTGCAGAATTGGCAGGAGAGTTCCTGACCAACATGACAAGAACGTCTGAGATGCAAACTGCCACGAATCATATATCGATCAGACAACACGAAGAATTGACGGCTTTGGTGGTACAGACTGGAAACAAGACCCACGTGCGGTTCGATAGAGCGGAAGAGGCCAACAAGGGCAGACTCCAACAGGTAACTTCACTTCACTGTCATGGCAGCATGAGTACGGGAATTGACAATTGGAAAATTGTAGCCTATCAACTTTTTATAAGGCTCATCTGTTGGAGGAGAGAGCAAAGGGAATGAGGCGAACACATGGGCCGTGTGAAATTTCTGAAGTTGTCTAGTGTGAGATCCAACGGTGGAAGTCTCAGGAATATTGTAATAGGTAGAATGACAGTGGGCGAGTAGGGGGGGTTACAGCATGATTACCATGACAGCCTGCTTCCAGATTCTTTAAAATTCCGGGCATGATCTTCCAAATACTACTGGCTGGCATTTCAGCTGTCCCACAACAGACATCTATGTGGACATGGACTTGTGAACTAGACATGTTTATAACAGCTCAACAGTCCCAGGAACCCAAATCAGCAGCCTGGTAAGAATCAATATACCAGTCAGACAGTCACAAGTCATTTTTTCAAGTCCCGGCCCTAGGAAAAAGCAGGAGTTAGAGTGCCCCGTCCGACGAGTCTGTAGGGAATTGACTTGGTAGAAACATGATGAGGAAAGGGATACTGGGCTCTTGTCTGAATGTGAAACATGCATGATCACCTAACTCGACAAAGAAACACATGAGGGCCCAACAACATCAATCTAGGAGTTAAGGTAACACCGAAAGGCCTTATAGCATGAAGCTAAGGCTGTATAAGATGGTCTATATACCTTTACATATAATCCAAAAGCTTGGAAAGAAATCTGAAGGCCTCGAGAGTATCATTCAAAGGCCTCAAAAGAGTATCTAAACACGTTCAAGCATCATCCAAAGGCCCGAAACCATCATCCAAAGGCCTTAAAAGATAGTTTATACGCCTTTGAAGATAGTCTAAATACCTTAAATGATAGTGTAGATACTTTAAATGTAAGATGAAAGCCTTTAAAGATAGTCAAGATGGCCTTGAAGTATTATACAAAGGTCTCAAAAGAAAATCCGGATACCTGAAAAGATAATCAACATACCTTGAAGTATGTCTTATATACCTTTTAAATGGCCTTTAATGATAGTCTACATGTCTCTGCAAATACATTAGAGGCCTGCTCACTATCTTTTATTGTCGAAAAATATATATCGTATGCCATTTGAGGTTGTAGAAAGGCGCATTTAGACAGTAAGATAAGCCTCCTAACCATGGTGGCAGGCCTTTGATTTAAAATAAGAGGCTTCTCAACTATCTCAACAGGCCTGTTTGCTTTGGTTTTACACCTCAAAACAACATCTCGAGGCATATGAAGGATGTTCGAAGCCCTCATATCACCGGTAAATGCTCGTTGGGCTTGCTTTGATGGCACTGAATTGCAAGAAGACATATCACAAAGCATTCACAATGGGGAACTAAGACATAACAACGAAATATTCCTTTGTTCATTACAAGGAAATGTGGGAATCATTAAAATACAAGCCATGCAGCCTCCTAAAACTTTTCCCCCGTTTATCATGATCATGACGGAAAAGCAAACCAGATCTAGGTGTTAACCCGAACCAGACCACATCCCAGTGACGCGGCTCCAATCTAGCGCATGAGAAAAAAGCAGAAACTCCGAAATCCTTCCATGAAGTGATCAACTGATTTAGTCGACCTCCTCGACGGTGGGGCCGTCATCGTGGGTGGCACCAGGGCCACCGGCACCACCGGGGAAACCGCCAGGAGCACCGCCGGGCATGCCACCAGGGGGGGCACCGCCAGCACCGTAGAATTTCATCATGATGGGGTTGGCAACACCCTCCAACTCCTTCTGGCGATCCTCGTACTCCTCCTTGGTAGCCTGCTGAGACTCATCGAGCCAAGCGACGATCTTGTCAATCTCGGTCTTGAGAGTCTCCTTGTCGGAGGCGTCAAGCTTCTCATCGACCTTGGGGTCGGAGAGAGTGTTGCGCAGGGAGTAGGCATACGACTCAAGGCCGTTCTTGGCAGCGACACGGGCACCCTCAGCCTCATCCTCCTCCTTGAACTTCTCGGCCTCAGCAAGCATGCGCTCAATGTCCTCCTTGGAGAGACGACCCTTGTCGTTGGTGATGACAATCTGGTTGGTCTTGCCAGTGCCCTTCTCAAGGGCAGAGACGTTCATGATTCCGTTGGCATCAAGATCGAAGGTAACCTCAATCTGGGGAATACCACGGGGAGCGGGGGGAATGCCAGTAAGCTCGAACTTGCCGAGCAAGTTGTTGTCCTTGGTGCGCTGGCGCTCACCCTCGTAGACCTGGATAAGCACACCAGGCTGGTTGTCGGAGAAGGTAGAGAAGACCTCAGACTTCTTGGTGGGAATGGTGGTGTTGCGGGGAATGAGCTTGGTCATCATACCACCAGCGGTCTCGATACCGAGGGACAGAGGGGCAACATCGAGAAGCAAGATCTCGTTGGTGGACTTGGAGGAAGTGTCACCGGAGAGAATGGCGGCCTGGACGGCGGCACCATAGGCAACAGCCTCATCGGGGTTGATAGACTTGTTGGGTTCCTTGCCATTGAAGTAATCGGTGATAAGCTTCTGGATGCGGGGAATACGGGTGGAGCCACCGACAAGGACGATCTCGTGGACCTGGGACTTGTCGATCTTGGCATCGGTAAGGACGCGGTCGACGGGCTGGAGGGTAGAGCGGAAAAGATCCTGGCACAACTCCTCGAAGCGGGCACGGGTGATGGAGGTGTAGAAATCGATACCCTCGTAGAGAGAGTCGATCTCAATGGAGGTCTGTGCGCTGGAGGAGAGGGTACGCTTGGCACGCTCGCAGGCCGTGCGGAGACGGCGCAGGGCACGGGGGTTGCCGGAAAGATCCCTTAAAAAGAAAAAGTCAGCAAAATGAAAACATCACCAAATCAAAAACGGGCTTCACGTACTTCTTGTGCTTGCGCTTGAACTCAGAGCAGAAATGATTTACAAGTCTGTTGTCGAAGTCCTCACCTAATTCCTAGTTAGTATATGCATGTTGTTGACTCAAGAGAATGTGACTTACCTCCCAAATGGGTGTCACCAGCAGTGGACTTGACCTCAAAGATACCCTCCTCAATGGTGAGGAGAGAGACATCGAAGGTACCACCGCCCAAGTCGAAGATGAGGACGTTGCGCTCGCCCTCAATCTTCTTGTCGAGACCATAGGCAATGGCAGCGGCAGTGGGCTCGTTGATGATACGGAGGACGTTGAGGCCAGCAATGAGACCGGCGTCCTTGGTAGCCTGACGCTGAGAGTCGTTGAAGTAGGCGGGGACGGTGACGACGGCATTGTTGACGGTGCCACCGAGGTAGGCCTCAGCGGTCTCACGCATCTTGGTGAGGACCATGGAGGAGATCTCCTCAGGGGTGAAGACCTTGGTCTCGCCCTTGAACTCGACCTGGATGACGGGCTTGCCGCCACGCTCAATGATCTTGAAGGGGAAGTGCTTCATGTCGGCCTGGACCTCTGCGTCGGTGAACTTGCGACCAATGAGACGCTTGGCGTCGAAGACTGTGTTGATGGGGTTCATGGCGACCTGGTTCTTGGCGGCATCTCCAATAAGACGCTCTGTATCGGTAAAGGCAACGAAAGAGGGAGTGGTTCTGTTACCCTGGTCGTTGGCAATGATTTCGCACCTGTGAGGGGTGGTTAGCAGGCTGTCGGGACTAACAAGGCTGATGCCGTGCAACCGTCCAATCGATCGATGGCGAGGCTGGCAGGGGAGTTGAAGAACACCCCTCTCAGTCTGGCCACGACCGAACAGAGCGACTGCAAATAGCGACTCGACGATGTCGATGAAGGGAGGGCAAGAACCTACCGATCCTCACGGAAGACACCGACGCAAGAGTACGTCGTACCCAAGTCGATACCGACAGCGGGAGCCATCTTGACTGCTGCGTGATTTGCTTTCTACAACGGGTTTTGGTATGGGTGTGGGGTATTGAAGAGTAGTAGATTCGTCGTAGTATTCCCGAAATCTGGTGGGAAGAAAAAGCAGCGTAGAAGGAAGAGAAGTAGAGTTTTTTGAGTTTGTGTGATGAAGAATGGGAAAGAGCAGGAGGAGGAGGGGCACAAAAGGCAGGTTTAAAAGCCCCGCGTCACTTTGCAGACGAAGCTCACGGAACCCTGTGGAAATCGCCAGAAGGCCCAAGTGGGGTTCCAGGAGCTGCACGAAAGGAGCTCAATCGATTGGACTAGAAACGCCCACACGCTTCATGGAACAACCCAGCGCCTCCTTTGAGAGCCCGTTGAGTGCCAAACCCAGCCTCGCCGTGCTCGATGCTCAGTTCCATCGGCCGCCTGCCCGACGGGAAGTTTGGCTATTCCCAGATCTCTTTCTTCGCTGCTTTTCCATGCCACATGCCGACCCCTGGCTGTTTACCCCATAGACACACCTGGAAATGTCTTCTCCAGGAAAGAAACTGCGGAGTAGCTCCATGGATGAACAAACAGTGGGCTTTGACCGTCTGTACACCCTCAAGCTGAGGTTTTGCGTAATGGGGAACTGACGCATCCAACACACCAATGCCACAGCTACATGCCAAGCACTAGATTTCGCCTCATGTCAAACTCTGCTGTGTGATCAACATTCTCTGAGAGGTTCCAGAAAACTGCTTGAATTGTCCCGAGGTCGATGGAAGCTGTTTTTCCTAAAAGACTGCTCATACCATTAATGCATCACCACAGGCCATAGAACCGCAGTCACCTTTACACCTGCCGCATGGTTGGACTGAGAGATGCCCAACATACATAGCAACAGTCTCAGTGCGATCACGATGCTTTGCATCATTCCATTCGGGCATGTTGCTGACCGCCAGTCATAACAAACAGATGCACAATACTACTCTCAAGGTGTTCCCGATCTTGGGCACTGCCAAGCTCTCAAGCAAGGTACAGTACATAAGGTACACACATCTCGAACCTCTAAGTGGGATGTCCAAGCTGACGGGGCAAAACATGCAACCACCAAAAAATATCAGCAACGAAACTCCATCAGAATATCACGAAGGCAACGGCAGAGACCACCTGCTTTCTTGTGGCTTCGACGACACAAATCTTTTCCTTTTTGTTATCACCATCTGTACCGACATTGGGGCTTTATAAGGCCAGCGGGACAGTGGCATCGGAATATCAGACCACTGACTGTCAAATGAAGCTCGGTTCTCTCTTCCGTCATCTGTCCGTCCCAGTGGACTCACAATGACGAGATGGAGCTATCCCCCTTTGCATTCCAGCTTCAAGTCAGCTTGATACACGACTCGATAGAAATGATAGCAGCTATTCTGAAGGGGAAATTCCGTCGTTCGTCAGTTGGGCAGAATGGATGGCGGTCAGATAGTAATAAGACCCATGAGCCAGACACATCAGATTTGGAACGACTGTTAGCACGATACCTCACTGGAGACCACTACTCTTCTTTGCCCATTGAAAATATAGGAGGGATTCGTCTCCCAGAGAAGAGGGGCGTTGAAGGTCAGAAAAGACTTGCTTGTCACTGAGCATTCAACAAGCGAGACCAAGGTCTTCACCCCTGAGGAGATCTCCTCCATGGTCCTCACCAAGATGCGTGAGACCGCTGAGGCCTACCTCGGTGGCACCGTCAACAATGCCGTCGTCACCGTCCCCGCCTACTTTGAGGTTTCCTGCTAACAGTCATGCAATCCACTCCATTAACTTGCCACCCCTTTTTCCCCCTCTTCTCTATTCTGCCCTGGCGCCTAATGCGGCGTTGAATACACAATTGCCAACAGGCCGGGTATCTGCCTCGTCTAACAATTGCCGTATGACTAAATGTCTACCTTTTCAATCTGACAGTTGGCTGATGTCGATACCTTTTTTCTCATTTTCGAGATGATTATGTCATGGTCCGATAAGCTGATAAGGAGCTACCCCTCTGCCCCTCACTACAGCAGTAATCAAACTGGCGGGGGAGCTTTGAGGTTCAGACTGAGCGTGAGGGAGCTTTGACGGTTTCAAACCATCACCTTGTCAACAAAGAAGATCTCTTTTAAAATCGAACTTGCTACTGTGCAGAACGTAGAGCTGCTTCTGAATCCTAAGTCACCGACCCTTCAACAACGTCAACATGTTGATCAAAGAGAGCCATGCCGACGTGCAAACGACTGCCAATGGCAAGACAACATCGATGAGTTGGTGAGCTCTTACAGCCAATATTATAGCAGTTAACTAATTGAGGTGGAAGGAATATTTCTATTTCATCCTACCATTCCTGGATACCCAAATGCGTGAGCCCGAACCCACCTTTACCTCGCCCTCGCAATAGGGGGTCTCTTGTATCACGGTCTTACCAAGTTATCAACGTGTAGTCGCTTCCCAGGAGTTGTTCTCTTCAGTGAGATCTATCAGGGTCAGTGACACCATCCCTCATGCTCTCCATAAAGAAGCCCAACGAAGTTGACGTCGTCACAGTCACCGGCCCTGTTGCTCGCTTCGCCAGACAAATCGCTGGCCAGGGCTACATCATCGCTGCTCCCAGCAGCTACCACGACTTTACTGGCCCTGAGCCTCTTGCCTATGACGTCCCCGGAACGGATCAAGGGAACGAGTGGAAGATCACAAAGGTCGGTGATTTGCTCTTCTGCATGGATACTCCCTGTTATAGCTTCGACTAAAGCTCAAGCCTCTGCTGGGAGGCCAAAGCTCCCAGCTGAAGCTCTGATGGTGTCATTCATTGGAGTAGCTTCAGGGTGCGCGGGTTGACAGGGTGTCCATGTCGTATTGGAGCCCAACTGGCTGGGGCTTTGGGTGTAGCCAGCACCACCATCAAAGTCTTGAAATAATGACGCTCACCAGTAATGTATCAAACAGACCCTTGAATCCTACGATGAAGACGTCACCCAGACTGTCTCCTACCTCTTGTCACTCCCAACATGCACTGGCCGTCTAGGCGCAACAGGCATGTGCTTGGGAGGGCATCTGGCTCTCCGGGCAGCTGTACGATACCCCCCCTCACCACCCCCTCTACCACTGTCTTCTAACACAACCCTCTTCCGCCTCCAGCTTCACCCCAAGATCTCTTCCACAGTATGCTACTTCGCCACCGATGTCCACGCCCGTACCTTAGGCCCCAACTCCGGCGCCAATACCTCCTCCACTGCCCCTCCGGACTCCAACCACACACTCGACCTCCTCTCCCGTATTACCGGTGAGGTCTCCATGATCTTTGGCATCAAAGACACCCACGTTCCCGACGCCGGTCGTGATCTCATTCGCCAAAAGCTTCGCGAGGCCGGGGTAGTCTTTAGCTTCCATGAGTTCGCCTGGGCGCAGCACGCGTTTATCCGGGACGAGCTCAGCAAGGGAAGATATGACCCTGCCATCACCAAGGTCTGCTTCGAGGTGTTGTTGGAGCAGTTTGGGCGGGTGTTGAAGACGGAGCTGGGGGATGGTGATGGGAAGAAGCAGGAGGTGGAGCATGTCTGTTGAAGAAGTGCATACTCAGCTGTTAGCTATAGACTGACAGATTCGTGCCTTGAATGATGCTCATCCCGGACAGGTAGCCAGTTGTCAGAAATGGCCGGTGTACCATTCCAACATCTCTCTCATGTTCGTGGGGGCCCTCTCCGGTCTTCCCAGAGGGCTCTTCTAATCTTTGAAAGACGGTATGCACGGCACGTTGTTACCAATGATAAACACTCTAAATTAGAGTCGGCGCATGTTGACTATGTAAGCGACTCCTCTTGAAATGCTGAGTAGGCCATGAAGGATATCGAGTAGGCCTTCAAAGACGATCCATGGGCATGAAATGACAACTAGTAAGGCTTGAAAAACTATTGATACGCCTCAAACAAGTTTCTAAAAAACAAAGAGGCTTAAAAAGATAGTCAAGATCGTTAACGGGCCCAAAAGGTATCAGAAGACCTGAAAATACTTAACAGGGACTGAACCTAGGTCATAGTTTACTTGTCAAGTGTTCTCATCGGTCGGGAGAAGAGTTGGTGGCATCTGTAAAACTGTTATACCCCTCCCATCTCCTATTTCCAAGGCGTCACGAGAGAACTAGGCATAGTGCACAACAGATATCACATCAAATCATGCTGCCAGAGACGTAACAGGCCCTGACGACTAACTCTAACCCCAGCTTCTTCAACATTGTTCACCTTCACACTTCAAACAAACACCTCACACGCTCTTCAAAATATCTATTCACCTTAACCATACATAGTAAGCAATCTCTACTACCAAAGTACTACAAACCATAGAAAAACGACTGTGTCCTCTAACCTCTACACACTCCAATCCTTGCGGTCAGGCCAGAATGCAATGTACATCTATGTATGCGAGTGATGACAAAAAAAGAGAAAATGCAAACCCAATGCCGTGCATGCATGCATATATTGGCGGGGTATTGCCGCTCTGGCTCACCCTTTTTTATTTCCCCCAACCTTCCCCAGAGAAGAAAAAAGAATTGTTGCTGAACAACCGAAATAAATTTTTTTGGCTGAAGCGAGTAATATGTTCGGCGTGTCCCGTCTCATACTCATCCATCATTACAACCACCCAAAGAAAAAACGCCGTCACCGTTGCTTTACTGAACCCCGACCCTGCCGAGTGTCCCAAGACTTGTTTTTTATCAACCAATCCCTACTTTCTGATATTTACTGTGTGGTGGTCCCGTTGTCATTATTGCTAGTGTCCGCCTTGCTGGTGCTTTGGTCGTTCTCCTTTTGACTACTTGTTTCCTCGTGAATCGTGGTGGTAGTCGTGCCTACAGGATACACCACAGGTGTCCCCGGCAGCCCCACCTAGTATCTAGCTGACGACGGACCAGGCGCACTTGGAGGGGGAGGAGGTCCGCCGCTGGATTGTCCTCCGCTAAGGGGCCTTCCATCACCTGTCGGAGCCTGGGGGCGGTTGCTGACGCTGGCACCTCTTGGCCTAGCACCAGCTGGACTTTGCCCAGGGCGTGGCGGTGCTTGAACGGTCAGATTCGCGGATTGTTGCGGAGGGGAATATGGCTGAGAAACGCCTTGCTGTTGTCCAGTCTGAGAGTTGTAGGCGGTCCAGGTGGTGTATGGAGAGCCGGCAGGAGCATCTACGCCCGCTTGTCTCTCCACGTCAAAGGACGGGCCACCACGGGTACTTGTTGTGGGGGCCCTGGTGAGCTGGACCCCAGGCGTGCTGGCGTCGCCGAGAGTCATGGGCACTGTCTCGCCCGCCCTGCGACGACCACGCTGAGATTCGCGGGTACCAAGAAGGAGCTCGGATCGTGAACTAGGCCCGTTAGAGGTGCTAGGGCGGACGGTAGAAGCGTCCCGGCCACTAAGGGTCTCTTCGTAGCCCCAGTCATCAAGAGCGTCCACAGCGGGATTAGTCGTGTTGAAATGGTCGGCTGCCTTTTGCTCACTAGCATTCTCGGCTTGCTTCTCCGGATCCGCGAAATCCATTCTCTTCGCTTCCTTCTCCTTATCGGCCTGGGCACGAGCAGAGATGGCATACTCGTCCGTCACAGCGACGCTGTATGCTGGGTTCTTGGGACCACCCAGAGCCTCACCACCGCCGCCAGGAGCATAGATTGGTACCTTCTTGAGCGCCAAAGTGAGGGCGCACATAAACTTGGAGCGACGGGTAGCGCGGACGCTGTCGTTGTGCCAGTTGGACTTGTGTTTGATCGCAACCTTAAGCGTCAACTTGTCAAGGTCACCAATACCACCAACGCCGATGCCGATATCAGGCTGGAAATCGCGGCTGTTCTCGGGCGAGCGCACAAACTTCTCCATCTCGGCACGCAGCAGTTCAATGTCCTCGAATGATGTGTCAAATGAGACATTGACATCAATCACTTCCTTCATGGCCTTGCTTCTGGTGACGTTCTCAACCCACAGATTGTTGAGGGCGATGTTGGGCACCTGGACGACTTGCATCTTGTCGATACGGGTGAAGACGGTGTAGAGCAGCGAGATCTTCTCGACAATGAGCTGCTGCTTCTCAGGTCCCTGGATGTCGACACGGTCGCCGACGTCGTAAGGGTGCTTGACGAAGAGGAAAATGCAGGAACCCAAGAATTCCTGTGTTGTGACAGCGAAGACAAACGACAGAGACAGCAGCGTGGTCCCAGCGGTGGTGAGAGTGGCAATGAAGCTGCTTTGGAAGACAGCCACTACATCTGCAGTTAGCACCAGCCACCAAGCGTATTGGTTCCACCAAGCACTTACAAAAGATGATAATCACAATGATCAGAACAACGAAGAGCAGGACCTTATCGAACACCGTCAATGCTTGGCTGATATCCTTCATGCTGTTGGCGATTGCCTTTCTTTCCTTTCCGATCTCGACAACCTTCCGGACCATTTCGTCGAGGCTGATGTCACCATTCTCATCGGCGTCAATAGCGTGGAAGCATTCCTCGGCTTCCTCTCGATGAGCAGGTCCCATAACCTCGACAATGTCGTCCATGGACAACGAGTCCTTTCCTTCCACCACAAACGACATCCAGATGCGGCGAGCCATGGCCTCGGAGCTTCGGACCTTCTCGAGAGCCTCGACGACGATGGAGTGTGCTGAGTTGGGGTTGAAGACTTGCTTTCCGGTGATTTCGGAGGCAATATTTCCAAAGACAGACGTGATCTTGTCGCCAAATCGCCCGACTTCTCCAACGAGCTTCATGGGCGCAGCAGCAACGCCTTTCCCATTCGGCCTGCCACCGGTGAGGATAACATCGATACTATCATTAATGATATAGTCCTCGTCGGCAAACTCCTGACAGTACATGGGGAAGAGCGTGCGTGAAGCCTCATACATGAGGCCGAGGATGTAGATTTCGCGCTTGGAGTCCTTGATGCGGTTGGCGAACGACCTCTGGTGGTAAGAGATACTGATGAGCTGAACAATGGCCTTCTCTGCAAGAAGGACGGCCGAAGCAAGGAACAGTGACAGCAAGATCCTCTGAACGATGTCTGTCCACTTGACCCCGTTGTTTCTGTCCGAAAGCATGAACTTGAAGGTGAGCCACGAAGCCAGTCCCCATAAGAAGAGCGAGAGCGGGATTTCAAGAGCGCGCAAAACGGTAGCGTATTTCCTGGTGCCCGAGCTGATCACTCCACAGAAAAACATAAAGACGACTGGGATGACATGGGCAACCAGCTTTGCCACCCAGATGCTCAGCCATGCTATCTCAAGCCAGATGAAGAACCAGAGCAGGTTCTGACCCTCGAGTTCGGTAGAAGTATTGCCAGTGAACGGAATGATTAAGAGGGGGATGGCGAGGATTATGGCGACAGGAACGATGTAGACGAGGTAGCGCGTGACGACAGAGAAGCTGACGATCTTGTTATAGAACCGACCCATTGCATTGAGAGAGGCCTCTTCGCTGAGGTTGCTCGATCCCGTGCGCATGAGGTCCTTCTTGATTCGTCGTCTACCGGCCGGAGTGCCCACGGCCTCGTTGAAGAGCACATTCTTCTCGCTGATGGGCTCCATGTCGGCTCTGCGTGCGCCCGTCGTCGAGCTCGCGTTGCTGCGAATTTGGCGGAGTGGTATGTCCTGCATATCTGAAGCGCTGGGTTGGTTTGATAGAGGCGCAAAGCCCTGCTGCCGTGGGGAGAGCGGTGACCTTAATGGCATGTTGCAGTCAGAATTCCAAGCCGTGGCAGACTTGGACCTGTGTGATGGACAGCGAGGGTTGGGTCGTGAGGAATGTGGGGTTGTGCTGAGGTGTTAGTACGACACAACGAAGCCGATCTCGAACCCGCAATGGTTCCAGGGGACAAAGAGACGCGAATGGGAATGGGATTGTCGGGATTGCCGTGAGGGGATAGGAATGCATAAAGCAGTCCACCGATGACATCAACTGGTGGGTATTCTTAAGACAACAAACAACATCAAACGAAGGTATTAGGAGAAGAGCGAGCGGCTGGAATTCCACATCCAGGTTGATATCTGCCTAGGGACGGGCGGGAGGAGGGATGAGCGAGTAAATGAGTGACGAGCGAGCCTAACGTAGGAGGAGAGATGAGTGAGTGGAGGATAGGATGGGATCGAGGTTGTTGAAATCAAGTCCGCTGCTGGGAGAAAATTGTTCCAACAGAAAACACGCCAAGACCAGGGCACAAAAGAAGGGTCCTCTCCCCGCTGCCAATTGGACCTTCCTTGGTGCATCAAATGTCATTGGAAGTGCTTGGTTCGCCTGCGTCTCAAGACGACATGGCGTTGGTGGGTTGTGGTGAACACGCGCAGTGATGGACCCGGAACTGACGAAACACAGCGGGAAGTGCAGAGCTAGCGCAGGGGGAAATGCAGGGCATCAGCCACTGAGGGAAGGCCAAGGATGCGACCCACGGTGCTGTAACGCCTTCCACCCCGTTTCATCTTGGCAGCATCCCTGTGCCTGCGGGCCGCCTGTGGTCCCAGCCAATTGGCCATTGGATGAATTTTTGACCTAAATTTATTCTCACTGTGCCGACGAGAAAAATCGAGATGCAATTGTCAAAGAAAATCCATCTTTGCCTCACAAGAAAACTCCACACTCTCCATCCAAGGACCCACGGGATGCCATCGTCCCCCGATCACCAACACCGAGATCGAGAAGCCAGATCGTCTCGTCACAGCGTGATTCCGTCATCCGCCAAGCTGTAACGCTGCCGGACAGTAAAAAAGAGACTTCTCGACTTCTCGACTTCGGACGACCCCTCGGCCAACCAAGTTCATATTCCTGCCGGATGCACATAGCTATAGATACCTTATGTATACCGCGGCACAGGCAGTGTGGGATGTGGAAGCAGACCCTTTGTCCAGATCGACGATCATGCTACACAATGCCAGAGAACATCACAGTCCAAGAAACAAACCGCCTCGTACACACCGATGTGGAGTGAAGCAGATATATCCCTTTACGAAGGCTAGTGGAATTATGATCAGCATTGCTCCCAGTCGCAATGTCGTCACTACCGTCATCAGTCATTCCTATCAATTGCCCTTCTCCTGACAAGTGCGTTAGCGGTCTTTCTATGTTGTAGGACAACAAATAGCTACGGCCGATATTGGGGGCCACGGCTCTCTGCCGCCACACAACCACCGCACACAGCCCAGTCTGCTCACAGGCCAACCTTCCCGTGCCTCTGACCCGAGACATATCATACATATACAAGAAGCTTCGTGGGATGGCAACGCCTCCTGGTGGAGGAATCGAAAGCTGGAAGCACCGCGAAATTGCATTGTCTGAAACGCCTCTACGTCGCAAAATGTGGAAGTAGCAACAACTGTCTAAAATTCCAACTAATAGGGCATTGGTGCTGCTCTTGCCGCCTGCCGCCTCGATTGCTCGTCGAGGCACCTCCACCAGCCTGTACGGGATGACCAGGTCGACATAGGTAGATTGTCCAAATGCTATGATATATCTTGAGTCGAACTTCCTAGCTTCAAAGAGAGTTTTGGCCAACCACTGACGTGTTTTAGGGTAGCCATTTCCAGTTGTCATCATTGCCAACATCTTCATCTTGCCGAGTTGCCTGCCACCGAGGTGGTAACGAGGCTTGATATTGCAAGCCACACAATGGTGATCCGTCCTCGCCAGCATATCGACAAGGCAAGGCTGGAAGAAAGCCAAAAAGAAACTGGTGACAGCCAAAAAGAAACTGGTGACAGCGGAATGGTGAGTTGCTCACACAGCAAGTGAAAGGGCAAAAGGAAATGTTGGTTGCCCACAGCCAGAATCGAACTGACGACCTCATCATTACTAGTGATGCGCTCTACCACTGAGCCATGCGGGCTTGGTGTTTGGTTGATGGAGATGGTACTTCCAAAAGTGGGTATCTAAACGAGTTAGAGAGTTTTGGTTTCTCAAAAACACGACCTAGATACCTGCACAAAAACAACTCCTCAAACAATGCCGTAAACAATTCTTGTACCGGTGCCAGTGCGCCCTTTCCCCCTGGTTAGATACTGCCAAGTTGTTTAACTTCAATCCCGACCAAACTATCCCGCCACGACCACACGTATCGAAGCTCTTGCCCAGAGAGTTGCGCCACCACTCTGGCTGGCGTGGATACTCACCATGAACAAACATCTTGTGACGGAAGCGGCTGTGTGGAGGACATATATTCGAAGCTTCCAGCTGTGTCAAGCAACTCAAAATCGCTCTGAGAAGGTGCAATGTTGTCACCCAAGTAGTCAGTGGCCAGGCTTGAGTGTCGGATTTCCCATCGACTCTGGCAGACATTACAAGCCCCCCCCCCCCCCCCCCAAAAAAAAAACAACATTTGTCGATATTGCTATTTTGCAGTCATTCGTTCCTCCAGAATTGCACACGGCGCCAAGTCAATTTTCTTAGCAGCTACATTACATACACATCATCACCATGAGCGCAAACGACGTGCACGGGATTCCCGCGTTTGCCACGCTGTCGGAATGGAGGCAGTTCTCGACCGGTATGACACTGGAAAAATGCTGGAACTTGGCCTGTCTTGAGCTTCAGGTAACGGAAATGTCCTTCCTGTGTTGAATCCTAGATCTACCCCCAAATGATCTCGTTACCGAAAGGTCCAAACGCCACTGACATTCACTCACCCGATTTGTTCGATAGTCTCTTCTACCGGTAACACCTGAGGTCGGTCGATTTGACTACCAAGACGCCCAGGTTTTGTTCTATATGCATCAAGACATGGTGGAGACCAACAACTATGTAACCCTTAAACACCGCGGTTGGATGGCGAGCCTGCAGACCGACAACCTCGAGTACTTTCTGGTCGTGCTTCTCAAGTTGGAAAAGGCCTACGAGTCATACCAGGACGAAGAGCTGTTCGCTCAAACGCTAACACTTGCAAGGGAAATGTGGAGGTTGCGGCAACTCGGCGACGACTTCTTGATAAACACTCGCAAAGTCTTGACAGTGGGACCTGGGAACTCGGTAGGTATGTACCGGCCGGATCTCAGCCCTTCTGGACCCAACGATTTCGAAATCAAGGTGCTCGAAAAGAAAATTGATTTTTTGGGGTTTCTCATCATGAAGACAAGCGCACACGTCTGGAGAGTGTTCGTTGGAGATAGCCCGCATAAGCCAGGCCGAGACCAGAGATGGAAAGACTTGCTCCGCGTTTGCGGGCACCGTGTTCATAAACGTCACATTTACCTTGCGGCAATGAGTGTTCTGGAATATTTCAGCAGTGAGCTTCGGCCCATGATGCCCATTCCGAACGCCAAACCCCCCACTGCCCTGCCTAAGTCTGCCCTGCCTGTTGATGGGGCAGACCCGGCGGAAGTAGGAAATCCCAAAAAGAGGGCGGCGCCAAATCACGCGAGTGGGACATTTGAGACGGGATATATGGGGGCATCATATGGGATTCCTGGCCAAGGAGGTAAGACACGATATGCGAACAATTGCCCGTCATTTTGGTGACAGCAGGCTAACATGAGGGTGGATTGGTCCGAAGAAGGGAACAGAGGGTATCAAGAAGGGAACAGAGGGTACCAAGGGTATCAAGGAGGGTACCAAGGGTTGCAAACAGGGAATAATGGGTTGCAAGCAGGGGATAACGGGTTGCAAGTAGGGAACTATGGGGGTTAAGAAGGGAATGGAGGGTATTAAGGGTATTAAGGAGGGTACCAAAGGTTGTAAATAGGGAACAACGGGTTGCAAGTAGGGAATAACCGGTTTCAAGCAGGAAATAACGGATTGCAAGTAGGGGACGACGGGTTGCAAGCAGGGGATGACGGGTTGCAAGCATGGGACGATGGGTTGCAAGCAGGGGACGACGATGGGCTCAAATAAACTGAAGAGAGGTACGAAGAGGGGTGTTATTAGACGTGGATCAATGAAGGGTAAGGAACTAGCTGGTCTGTGGAGACAAACAGCGAAGGGGGCATTGACCCGGGTTTTGTTAAAAATTGCTCTGGGAGCTAGTTAAAGATATGCATCCGGTACCATTGGTAAAAATAGCAGCGATATACTATCTGTTCTCTTGCAACAGCCAACGCTTTGTGGCCGTTAAGTGTCACCTTTGACAAAAAAGGGGGGTCAACAACGGCTCAATCACCCCAGCAACCACTCCCATCACCGCATCTCCGGGTTAGGGTTGCATCGCCTCAACTGTCTCGCAATCAACCCCGCAGCCCGATTCGCGTCCGTCGCGTCACACACCCTCGCTGCTTTTATCCAAGCTATCTATCACATTTCAGTGCTGTTTCGATTAAACGACCTTGCTGCCCCTCAATGTGAACCACCCACTGCGACCACCTCTCGAGCTTTAACAAGCACCTACAAGCCAAGCAAAAGCCCAGCCCAAAATGTCCCAACGGCAACGCTCCCACTCTGTCTCTGGACCAACAGCGGCAGCAGGAGAAGGGGGAACAAGGGAAAAGACATATTTTGAGCTCCAGAGGGAGGAGCTCGTATCAGAGATTGCCATGGTTCGTTCTCTCTCTCTGGTTCTCCAATATGAATATTTTAGTGCAACTAACCTAACTGTTGTGATAACAGAGCTTCGAGCACGTCCTAGCCAACATCAACAAGCTGAACCGCTCGCTCGAGGCCGTCATCGCCGTGGGAAATGAATTCAGCTCTGTGGAAGCGTTATGGAGCACGTTTGAGAATGTGATGGCCAAGGAGGAGGAGGAGGAGGGCGATGGGCAAGAAGGGCACGACGAAGGGCACGACGAAGCAGAGGAAGAGGGAGGTGATGAGATGGAGGGGGTGGAACATGAGGGGGATTCGAGATATGAGGGAGAGCAAAGTAGGGTATGAGTTGAATATGGGCAGGCAGTAGGGAAAAAGCCTTGGCGTTTTGACGGAGTTATTGACATTCTAAATGATACCCCCTTTTTATTCGCAAAATACATACCAGCCATGGACGACGCACACCAGGGTCAGGGCAAAGGTGTGAACACATAAAAACATCGATTCTTCTCTCCTCTACTTCTGCCCCCCCTAATCCATGCCTGTGCTATACATTCCCAAATATCCATCTCTCGTTTCTCTCCTTCGGGGTATCTAAAAGAAAAGCTCACACTCCATCTTTGTGATCAACCTCTTCTAATCAAAAACTAAAAGAAGAGAAAGGGGGGACGCTTCGAGGGGTAGGTGAGGTTTCTCTCTTTCAAAATACTCCGATCAATCCAACAACACGCACACAACAGTTGACCGCAAAATTTGAATATTCCATCAGATAATTTCCTTGCTTTATCCGTAGCCTCTGGCACCTGATCTTTGTTGCCTTCCTACCCTTCCTTATCCCAGCCGTCCGTCTCTCCCATGCACCGTCATCACCAAGTCGTCCCTTTGCCCTGCCCTCTGCCCCAACTCCCTCTTCACCTTCCACCACCCCCAACAAACCATCTCAAATAGCAAAACAAGCAGCCACACAAGAAAAATAGACAGTTCACCTGCTCGTTATTTTGCCTGCTCGTTATTTTGCCTGCCATGCCATGTCTGACAACCAGCCAGCGCTAGCCAGAGTCAGTTGTATGAGAGAAAAAAAAAGAACAGAAAAGGATGAACACAACAGTAAAAGAAAAAGGTGGTGGTGGTGAAGTAATGAAAAATAGACAGAAAAGAAAAAGTGAAAAAAACCAACCCTCAACGCAAAAAGTCGTTGTTCGCATCAGATCATGCAGTTAGTCAGGTCATCATTAACCCTCTCCACGCCCCATCTCTTCTGTCTCCTGAAATATTGTTCGATCACATAATCAAACATTTGCTCTTCCTCTTCTTCGCCAGCCCGACTCCCGGGATATTTTGACCGCTCACAGTCCCACTCCTCCCCCTCTTCTTTCCGCTAGACGAGTCCCCGACGCTGCCTCCTCCGTTGACAGCCTCGGCTTCGAGCGTTTTCCTGTCGTTGGCCACCACAGTAAGGATCGCCCTCTCAAAGATCTCCTCCACGCCCGTCATTTCTTTTGAGCTGCATTCCATGTACTGGGCGCCCATCTTGGCGGCAACCGCCTCTCCTTGCTGGGTAGTGACGGGGATCAGGCCTTGGGTTTTCAGCATGTCGATGCATGTCTTTTTGTAGCGGAGATCCGACTTGAGACCGACAAGGATGAGTGGGGTGTAAGGGCAAAAGTGAAGGACCTCTGGATACCACTATTTCGCAAAGTGTCAGTTGGGCACCAAAAAAGGCGAGACTGCAAACCAAAAAAGAAAAGAAAAGACTGACCTTGTCCATGACATTTTCTAGCGAATTTGGGCAGTCGATGGCGAAGCAGACAAAAATGAGATCGGTTTCTGGATATGACAGGGGCCGAAGGCGGTCGTATTCTTCCTGCCCGGCCGTATCCCACAGAGCGAGCTCTACCGTCTTACCAGTTGGGGGATGGGTTGGGTAGGTGATGTAGTTCTCAAAGACGGTCGGGACATATTTCTTTTGTTTTGTTCTCGTGTTAGCATTCGGCGCGCGCCTGGTCTGCAGGACACCCGTGGGGCGAAATTACCTCTGGAAAATACCCCTGGCTGTAACTAATCAAAAGACAAGTCTTGCCGCAACCACCATCGCCAACGACAACAATTTTCTTGGAGTAGGCGGGGCCTTCGTTTGTCATTGCGGTCGCTGCTGATTCTCTGCCCGATGATGTCGAGATGCTGTTGAAGGTGCTCACTGTCCCGTCGCTCGATCTGGTGCCACGCGTGTCTCGTCTCTCGGATGTTGGTCTGCGCGAGGCGCTACTGTCATGTCGCTCGTGGGCGTAGTGTGAGTTGCGGTGTTGGTACGACGACGCCATTTGTTTGCGTCTGTTGCACTGTGTTTTGGGGGGTTTTGAGTTGGGATGGGAGACGACTAGCGGCGGAAACAGGCCAACAAGAGGTATCCGCCCAATTCAAGGAGTCGGTAAAATACCTAGGTATCAAGGTATTATAGGACGAAAATAATTTGTTCCCCACCCCGCCCGTAAGCTGTCTGTAGCTGTACCTAGCTGCTGCTGCTACTCCTGCTGCTCTGGAAATACCGCGCTCGTAAAAGAATTGGTTATTGGGGTCGTCTCTGGTGTAAAATTTCGTCTGACGATGCTCTTCGCGATGGTGATGGTGATGGTGAGGGGGAAAAACAGGGACGACTCGGAGAAGGGATGGGATCAGTGAGTGCAGGGTGTCAGCAAGCAACAAGCAAGCTGGACAGTCGCTGCAGGAACTGGGAAACAAGCTGCAGGTGCAGCTTGGAGAGGTCAATGTAAACAGTCGGCGGGGCAACGGTTCCTTGCGGTCGGGTAATGACACAAACGCGGGGCCAAGATTGGTTGAAGGGGCCCACTGGAGATGCTGGTCAGCGCCTTGTCGGTGACGGACCACTAAAAACAGGCTTCTTCTTCAACCTGGAAGTTGGATGTTGATGATGACTTGCAGTTGTGGCGGCAGCGCTGTGGGTGAGGTGTGTAAGAGGGGAAAAAGAGGACGGGATGGGAAAAGATGAATCTGGAGAAAACTCCTCACTGTCTCATAATTTTCTCCCGCTTCTCTTGAGCTGTCTGGCACAGCACGGCATCCCATCACACCCCAGCCCTATGATTACAGCGCAGCACATCTACTGGACCACCACCAACAGCGGTGCCAGGTTGCAAGCTGCCGAGACCGTCCGACCAGTGGGGTTTTCAGCTGCCTTGGTTGTGAACGTGGCTGGTGGACAGTGCCTGTTCTCGGGTTATCGTCGGCTTGGCGCCAGCAAACCACATTGCAGTCATTTTCTTTCTGCACCTCCTCTTTGAAAATTCTCTCTTCACCATCGTCAGAAACCAGCCACCTCTATTTTTCTGTTTTCCCTATTTCCATATTTCCCGGGTCCGTGTCACCTGGCTGCGACGCATAATAATACACTACCCTTTATCAGCGCCGCCTCTTTCTTGTCGGGTCCGGTGCCACCGAGAAATCTCTTTCTTGAACCGTCGCTGCCGCTGCTGCGGCTCTCCAACCTCCTCCCTCCACGCAGCAGCCCACTGCTAACTGGCTTGGCATACACAATGTCCGACAGCAAGTACATCACGCTCATCTCATACGATGGCTTCGAGTTTGTCGTGCTGCGGGAGGCTGCTCTGGTTAGTGAAACCATAGGAGCCATGCTGAGGGGCCCTTTCAGAGAGGCGCAAACTGGTCGCTGTGAGTTTGGCGAGATTCGGTAAGCTTTCCTTCTCTCTTCCATGTTTCCACAAGTCATGGCCATATCACATGATGATACTGCATGCTTTATTATATCAACGACAGACCAGGCTACTTTCGCCGTTGCGGGAGCCATCCTGGACTGCATGAGGCTACTCTACACTTGATCTGATTGTTCACTACGCTACCACACACCGCACACACCGCCTGGACACACAAGTCTCCTTCTTTTCCCGAAAGAAGGGGAAGTGCTAACTCTCAAACAAAGAGGTCCTGTTCTGGAAAAGGTTGTCGAGTACTTCCACTACCATTATGCGAACCGCAACCAGACCGATGTCCCAGATATGGACATTCCTGTGGACATCTGCCTCGAGCTCCTGATGGCTGCCGACTTCCTTGGATTGGATTCCAAGCCCCAGATGAGAGATATCTCTTGAGGGTGACCGGCTTTTTACGGATCTGCATCCAGGAACGGAACTGCATTGAGCACGGCGTTGAGGTTATGATTTTGGCGCATTTGCAAACAAGGTGCCCTCGACCCCAGTAACTGGTACAACAGGACATACAACCATGAGAAGCACCAGTCAGAAAACAAGCAAGGCATCTTGTTTTTCATCATCTCCTTTCCAGCGTTCTATTGCGTCTTGTGGTCATTCAGAGGCTACACCCATCTTAGCATATCGTCTTACCCTTTTTCACCCATGGGTCATACGTCTAAATTCGATGGAAGAGCGACATATCCTCAACGATCTGCTTGGCTTTGGCTTTTCACCGGGCTGAGCTTTGTAAATCGAGGAGACATTTCGTTCCAAATTACTTGATACACCTTAATACACAATACATTTGATGAGAATAACCCCGTGGTATCAGTCCAACGCCACCTGAACAAATAAGGAGAGGTGACCTAGCTCTTTATGAAAACCATGTGAACACCATTACAGCTGCTCATAAAAGGCCAGCAGCTTTTGAGCTCCAATCTCCCAAGTAACATCATTCTGGAGGTGATGCCCGGCCCCGGGTACATAGCAGCATCTTACCCCTTGACCAACAGTGTCCCTTCCCCCATCTCCAAGGAGCTTCTTGACGCCGTCTCTATCGTCTCCCTCGATCTTCTTCTGGGCAACGAGGCCGGTATAGCTCTCCCGGTAGGTGTTTGCAAGCTTCTCCATGACCGGAATCGTCATGATCTTGTCAATCTCACCGCCCAGTACCATGATTCCCTGTCCTTTATTTGCCCTCCAGCTTGTGATTCGAGGCAGCAGATTCTCGGGTTTGACGAACCGGCTCATCATACCCAAGGGCCACAGGAAGCTCTCATACCTGCTGGCTCGTTGCTGGAACTTCATCAGATAAGAACCCGGAAGCTGCTCGCCGAAGAAGACTCTGCGTGTCAGAACAGGGTGGGAGAGCGGCGAATTTGGGTGCCACCCATGGAAGATCATCCGGAAGCTGAACCAGGGATCAAGACGCCACCAGTTGATGTAGACTCCCAGGCTGGTACTGCTGTTAATATATAACGGAAGACTTGCATGATAACAACGTGGAAACAACTTACGAACCAAACCCGGGTACAGCTCCCGCGAGTACTAGTCCTTTTACTTTGACGTGGTCAAACTCTGGTGCTGAGAGGATGTACTGTCCCAGCCCGCCCCCGCTCGAGTGGCCTATATACACCACCTCCCTTCCGTCATGCCGCTTCTGCACCCACTTGATGGCTGCCACCACGTCGTCGGCCAGCATGCGTTTTGTGGTGAAGTAGACCATTCGGAGGTAGGAAGGGTGCCAGCTGCTGCCATGGCCGCGCATAGAGACAGCATAGCAGGGGATGCCGCGCGAGGCAAAGAAGGAGAGGTACTCTAGCCAGACCCAGGCACCGCCCATCCCACCGTGGACGAAGAATAGCGGGGTAGCTCCATGGCGAGCCTGTTTGGAGGGTTTACCGTGGAGGACTTCGATCTGTCCCCCCGGCGTGTCAACGAAGAAGCGCTCAATGCCCTGGGGGAGAGAAGGGAGGGAAGAGGGGGTTAGGGTTGGGCGACGGAAGTGGAGGAAGCGATAGGTGAAGGTATCGAACATGTTTGGTCTTGACAATGCTGCTGCGTTGATGTAAACGATTAGCTATCAAAGCTTCAAATGATGAGATTGGGAGAAAGAGAAACAACTAGCTACCTTTGTTTTACCTAATATATAGCCATGATGACTCTACCTCTCGGGACCGCTTTCAGCTCCGGGTCAAGCCGGTGTCGACTGGCGGGTGATGTAGGGTGGCGCAAAGACAGGAACAGGAATTGAGTGCGAGTGACACGAAACCTCGCAAAGACATTTGGTCGGGATTTATCCTATTCGGGACATTTGGAAGATGCATTTTGGTGCAGGAGTTTGCAAAAATGAACCCCTTGAAGGTATTGGTGCTAGCGAGGTAGAGAGAGATATGGGTCTGTTCAGAGAGGCGCTCGACCGCCATTACAGCAACGTAGACGCTCCACCAAAAATTCGGCAGGTGCTGTGGTTGTTCATTCATTCATTCATTCCCCAACACCAATGAACCGTCAACTTGCTCTTCCCGCTGCACGTTGGGCGCCAAGGCAATCGTTACTTCCATTTGGTGTCACTCGATTGCAGATTCGTCTCAAGTCTTCAAAGTGTAAATCCAAACAGAAGAAAAGCAAGATGAGCGACAAGTCGCTTCGCGTGGCCATTGAAGGCTGTGTAAGTTCTCTGCTTTTTCGATGCCAAGAAACTCAAGAGCTCTCAGCTAACAAGCCTAGGGTCATGGCACCCTCAACGCAATCTACTCTACCATCACGGCCTCATGTAAGGAGCGCAACTGGGATGGCGTCGATGTCCTCATCATCGGCGGTGACTTTCAGGCCGTCCGCAACGCCGATGACCTGACAGTCATGTCCATCCCGGCCAAGTATCGTGAACTGGGCGACTTCCCTGACTATTACAGTGGGAAAAGAAAGGCCCCCTATCTCACCATCTTTGTTGCTGGCAACCACGAAGCAGCATCTCATCTGGCAGAGCTGCATTATGGCGGCTGGGTCGCCCCAAATATCTACTATATGGGCGCCGCCAACATTCTTCGACTGGGACCCATTCGAATCGCTGGCATGAGTGGCATCTGGAAGGGCCACGACTATCGCAAACCCCATCATGAGCGTCTCCCCTTCAACCAGAGCGATACCAAGTCTTTCTATCATGTTCGCGAGATCGACGTTCGAAAGCTGTTGCAGGTGCGAACACAGGTGGATATTGGCATCAGCCACGACTGGCCGCGAGGGATCGAGAAGCATGGTGACGCCAACCGGCTCTGGAAGATGAAGCCCGATTTTCAGAGGGAGTCACACGATGGGTCGTTGGGAAACCCGGCTGCGGATTATGTCCTGAACCGCCTCCGGCCACCGTACTGGTTCTCTGCTCACTTGCATTGCAAGTATTCTGCCATTAAAAAGTTCGATCCTCCTACCGCAGAGCCTCAACCATCTGCATCAGCAACACTTCCGGAATCAGCCACGGTCCCGCCAGCTGTCCTTGCGCATAACCCGGATGAGATCGACCTCGACCTCGAAGAGGAAGAAACCCCAGCCGCTCCCGCACAGAACCCCGATGAAATCGACCTTGACCTCGACGAGGAAGAAACCCCTGCTGGTCCATCCACCAGCTCAGCCCCTATTACCACCACCTCATCCAAGCCCCAATCTGAAGAGCAACAAACCGACGCCCTCCGCTCCCTCCTCCCATCCACCTTTTCCAAACCTACCCCCCAAATCCAAACCACCCCCGGCCAACCCGTCCCCCAAACCATAACCAACAACACAACCCGCTTCCTGGCTCTAGACAAGTGCCTCCCCGGCCGAGCCTTCCTCCAACTAATGGAGATCCCCTCCCCCACCACCATCACCCGCCCAGTGAAGCTAGCCTACGACAAGGAATGGCTCTCCATCCTCCGGGCCTTCCACCCGCCGATCAAATCCACTTTTGGCATCCGCGGTGCCCCGGTCCCGGAGGACAAAGGGGAGGAGTACTACCTTGGTTTGATCAGGGAGAATGAGGAGTGGGTGGAGGAGAATTTGGTGAAGAAGGGGAAGATGGAGGTTCCGGAGGATTTTGAGGTGACGGCGCCGGTGATGGAGGGGGGTTGGGAACGGGGACGGGAGGTTCAGCCTAGGGAGTATACTAATCCGCAGATGGCAAGGTTTTGTGAGCTGTTGGGGGTGGAGAATTATTGGGATGCGAGTGAGGAGGAGAGGGAGG